AGTGAGAAATGAATATAGCCATATCTGAGATTTTCTTCTGTCCCAAGGTATTTGAATATTGGCAGAATAATTACCTCCCCCAACAGTTAGTGTTGAATGGATGGAATAATTAAAAAAAAAGAAATTGAAGAGAATAAATTTAATATATGGTAACTGTAAATTAGGGATGGTGGTGGCAAATTTAGATTTTATGGATTTTGAAACCTTTAATATATCCCTTCTCCCATTCTCTTCCTCTTTTACCAAACTTATTCGATCATATAAAATACAATGATAAAAACAAATCTCCTTATAAAATGTGTGAAAGCTTGTTTGTATTTTTGAAACCTTCTTACTATTAAATTTGTCTCTGTGTATGTGTTGTCTCAGAGCACATGAGTTAACAGTCTGATTGTGTTGCTCCATTGTTAATACATTTAATTTCTATACAGAACGTTTAACTTCTCAGGCACTTGTGAATTAATCTATGCACATAACTTGGAGATTTTATATATATATATATATATATATATATATATATATATATATTTTTTAGTCACTAATATTAGTTGTAAATGTGACGTTGCTAACATTGCATCTGAGTAAATTTTTAATTTTTTTTATTTTTTTTATTTAAAATTTTTTTTTTTTTTTTTTTTTTTTTTTTTCAATTATTGCTTATGAATTTGGCTTTTGTAATAATGTCTGTTCTTTTCCGACTTTGGTGATGCATTTATTAGATTGTCATATTTTCTTTTTGGTGGCTGGGGAAATTGACCATTTCCCTTCCTTTCTACACAATTTTAGCCTTGATTCTGTTAAACTTTTATATTTTCCTTTAAGCACAGGTAACAACACTGATGATATTATTAGCTTGCAATGCTTATCTTAGCAGCTCTCTCTCTCTCTCTCTCTTTTTCTCTTTTTCTCTCTCTCTCTCTCTGAGTAGATTAAAAAAAAATAGATGAAAAATGACAATGCCAACTTTGAGGAAAGTGCCACTCAGTAAAATTTGATTTTTTTTTTTTTTTTTTTTTTTTTTTTTTTTTTTGCTTTGAAGAGGGCCAAGAACTAATATTACTGGGACTTCCCCATTTAATGGACAAGTAAATATCTCTAAGGGGAGGAAATAAGGTTTTTAGAGCAAAACAAAATATTTTTGCGAGTTTTTTGGAAAGATTTTTTTAATTATTTTTGTCTTTAATGTTGATGTTTAGAATTTAATTTTTTTTTTTTTCTTTTTTAAATAGCATATTTTCCCTGATTGCTGTTATAGCAAGTGTACTGTCACCCCACCAACAATCCCCCTGTCTCCCATTTCCTTAGAAACTTGAATGTGATTCTGACCTCCTAATTTTCCTCTGTTCCTGGATGTCTTTTAGATAGCCTTGTGCCCAGCTTGACAACTGATGAAGTGGTCCCAACTGCAGTAGGTCAGGAGGTAGATGGAGTTTAATTCAATGACAAAAACACCAATCTTTTTTTCCTTTTTTTTTTTTTTTTTTTTTTTTCTCTCTCTACATATTTTGTTATTTATTAAAATTTTTTTTTTTTTTTTTTATTATGTTTTATTTTTGTTCTCTTCTATTCAATTCCGTATTACTACCTTTTTATTTTGTGTTATAAAAAAAAATGTGTATATGTCTGTGTATGTATATATTACACACCCATACATAAACACATTGGTTATTTATATATAGGATAATTAATCTTTTCTAAATGTATATCATTTTTTTTTATATCTAGTCAGTTCAGAACAATTGGTGGAGAACAGCAAGTGGTGGATGATTTTTGACATTTTCTTTATTTCTTTTTTTTTTTTTATTTTTAAAATCCTAAAAGTTTTTCATTTTTATGAACTATGAAATTAAAATCTCTTGACTATTATTTGAAAACCAAAGCTCTTGGTGATTCTCAGTATTTGTAATTCTCTCGTAACTTCTTTGGATACAGTGTGCTTAACCATGACCACTGTCCACTTGCTGCTCTAACGAAAGGAGGTCATTTTTAAAGATGTTTCTATTCGCTGTTAATGTTGAAGTAAAAATCTACACACACATAAATTAGACTGTTTTTATTTCTTTAAATATTAGGAAGTAATGTGGCTATTCTGTTTAGGATCTGGCTTCTGTTATATAAATGCATGCACACACGAGTGTGCTACAAAGTTGGCCTAACCCCCTTTCAAAAACTTGATTGAATGACCACCTAAGGGTTTCTTGATCATGCCAAGAACTTAAGACTGAGATATCTCTCTCATATATATATATATATATATATATATATATATATACTGAATAGTAGTATAACCATTTCATTTTCTTTGTATTTTATATTTAATTGCTGATGTTGGCTTTTAATTTAGTTAGAAATTTTTTATTACCAAGAAATGTTTTCTGTTAAATGAAGCTGCTAACATAGGCACTTTATAACCTAATCCAATGCACTTATTCAAATTTAGTGTAAAGAAATGTTGTCATAAAAGCTTTTGGGCCTTTCATTTTCATTGTTGAGCAAAAAGCCTTTTGGAGGTATCTTTTTGGATTACACCCTGTTCAAAGGCCCGGATTGAACTTTTCTCTACCTGCTTAGCTTTGCGTGTCTACCCCATGTTGAATGAAATCCCCTTGTTCCTATTCCTCCAACATTTAAGACTGCCAGGGATGTTTTCCCTTCTCGATTTGGATATTTTTCCTAGTTAGTTTTATTATTTCTATTTTTAGTTTTTTTTTTTTTTTTTTTTTTTTTTTTCTCTCGTTTTTCATTTCTGGACCAAAATTATATATGACATTAAATCTATGCCTTTTTGTCATAAGTCCATCGTTATTTTATTTATTTATTTATTTTTTTACTGCCCACTCTTTGTTATTTGGTCAGTCAAGTCATTGCTCTGTAGTGCACTGATGAAATGAATAGCTGTTCTTTTTATTCTGGGCCCCATTTTACTCTTCTCTTGATAGAGATGGAATTAAGTTGGGATCTGAAAAGTGGAACAAAAGTTTCCAAATATTTTCTATACAGCAGATACAAATTCTTCTCTTGGCCAGAAAATACAAACTCCTCCTCCTCCCCCTAAAAATATCAAAGACCTGGCAGCTGGAACTGTTTCTCTGTTTGCCATCAGATAACTTTTTCACTTGGACTCTGTGTACACGTCTCTGGATCTAGCTGCCAGGAACAAGTTTGCTACTTTGAAAATATAAGAAAGGCGGAGGTGAGGAGTTATGAAATTGCTTTTTTGAGGAATTAAAGAAAATTCCAAGCAAGTACCTGAGCAGAATTTTGTGACGGTGGTCTGAGTTTTGTGGAATGGTGCACCAACAAAATGTTGAAAGCTGACCAACTTAATGATCAGGAAGCAGGTTGAAGAATTAATCCTCATTTTCTTGGCTAAGAGAGAGGGAGAAAGGATCGAGAAAGTATTATAGTCTAATGATGATGTAGCAAAGGAAAATAAGTCTTGAATTACATCTCTTGTCCAGATGTGATTGATCTGTATTTGGGAATGCTTTAATCTTGATAGGTCCATGCAAGAAAGGCACACTTTATAGCATTACCTTTTAAGAGCTTTTGGATAGTCTTTTTCAGTATCTTTGTCAAAGCTTTTTATCTTGATGATAAATATAAGTTTTTTTTTTTCTTCTAAATCTAGATACTTTCAGAGGAAAAGATATTTAAAAATTACAAGGCTACTTGGGAGGGCGGACAGAATTAATTATGTAATATTTCTTGGGGGGTGGGGGAGCCAACGATTTAGGCTTCTTGCACCAACTACCACCAATATCACCACCACCACCACCACTATTATTATTACTACTACTACTACTACTACTACCACTACTGTGTCGCGTGTCTGACTTGGCTGACACTGCACTGATTGTCACTTGCGGTCTGTTTCTGTCTGTCATGTAGGAGGGAGAAGGCATTCAGGAACAGGAGGAGGATGAACACATGGAGTTTTGCCGTGTTTGCAAAGATGGTGGCGAGCTGCTGTGTTGTGACAGTTGCCCATCTGCTTATCATATCCATTGTCTGAACCCACCATTAAAAGTTATACCAGATGGGGAGTGGCACTGTCCTCGCTGTTCTGTAAGTCCTAGTTTATTTCTTCTAATTTGTTTTTGTTTTATGCTTAACCACTTTTTTACTATAACAAAAAGAAACTTGTAGTCTGTGTCTTTTGTTGTGTGTGTGCGTGCGCGCATATATATATATATATATATGATCTATATCTGTCATTTATGAAACTTTTTGCTTGCTTGTTGCTTGCTTCCACACGTTCTTCCAACACCCCTTTTTTTTTTTTTTTTTTTTTTTTTTTTTTTTTTTTTTTGAAAGAAAAATTTTTTTTTTCCATTTTAAAGAGAAAAATCAACTTTTTTTTCATTGCCACACTTGCCCTGCTACTAATGCCTCTGCCATTCTGCTATTGCCATCACAGAATTTGTGCTTGCCAATGCTGTTGCTGCTGCTGCCGCCACCATTTACCATTCTGTCCATACCATTCACTGCTGCAGGGGGAACAAATTTCCTTTTTATACCTTCAGCCAGCCATACAACCAACTGTTACTTGACGAGCAGAAACATTTGACACACTCTCACTCTCTCTCTCTCTCTCTCTCTTTCTCTTAAATTACAGATTTAAAATGTTTGATATTTCAGCTAAAACTTAAAATTTAAACAAGGAAAAAGAAACCCATCACCTCCCCATTTTCTTTTTGCTCTCATTTCCCCATCTCATCCCCCACCATAAACCTGGTCCAAAAATCATACCTTGTCTCTCTCTCTCTCTTTTTCTCTCTCTCTCTCTCTTTTTGTTTTTGAAAATTGAAAGAAAAACTCCCTCCCCATATTTGTCTAATATTATTTTTTTTTCAGCTTGTATGTTTTGTCTGATTTTTTGCAAAATAATCTTTCCTGAAATGTTTTGTTTTTCTTCACTTATTCACAGCAAAATCTGTTCTTTTTATTTATTCACTAATTGCTTCATTTACTTTATCTGTTTATATTTTATTTTCAAGAATGTTGAAAAGGTTCATGAGAAACAGGTTAGTGACTGATCTCCACAACTCCATTTTTTTTTTTTTTTTTTTTTATTTTATTTAAATCTTTCAAATTCCTTTTTTTTTTTTTTTTTTTTTTTTTTCCTATTTGAACTCTTCTCTCGATTTGAAAATAATTATTGGCCATTATTTGATTTGCCTAGCGAATATAGCAAATGTAAACAAATAAGAGCAGTTTTCAAGAGCTGCTTCTGCGCCCAACTCCCTTGAAAAAAATCTAAATACATGAATAATTTACAACAGATATTTTATTTTTTAAATCCTGTTTAATCATTTTATCAATGAATTACACAGTACTTATTTTGATTAACTGTTACTTAGAACGATTAATTTGCTACTTGTGTAAAAACAGGCTTAGTTGACCATGATATAAGTGATGGCTATAAAAAGGCATTACTGATTATTTCCAGCTAATTTGTCTAAATAATACACTGATTGTTTGCATCACGTGGCAACAATTATGAGTAAAATGATGCACTAAAATAAGTAACAAAGTAATCGTTTTAAGTTGTCTGGATATTGATGCTTTTTATTTATTTATTTTTTAAAGAAACTAATGGTGGTAAGATAAAAAAATAATGACTATAAAAGAATGGGGAAAATGTCATGTAAATTGGTTAAATTTTATGGTAGGGAACAATGAGTAGAGATTGCATATCAAATTCTAAGTAAACAATGGAATTGGTATTACTTTTTAAACCTTGTAAAAAGAAAAAAAAAATTCTTTATTTCTGCATCTAACTAGAATTTTTAGGGGTCACAATAAGGGGCTTTTATTTATTCCTATAAATGGCCAATTGAAGCTTTTTTAATTTTATTTTTAAATGTCCGTGTGAATTTGTATACTTTTTTTGTTGCTGCTTTTCATATTTTAACTTAAGTTTTTAACTTCCATTTTAAACTTAATGCATACTTAGATAAGTTGTGTAATGTCCATATTTTTCCAGTATATCTTAAATGATCTAAGTTACTATTGTAAGGGAGAAAAGGAGATGTTTAAGTTATTCCCTTCCCTTTTCTTTCAAATAGTTTTTAATTTTGTCCAATTTGAGATTTATATAAATGAAACACTGGCAGTTGACTGGAAAGCAAAACCAATTTTTATCTTGAACTGAATTTAACTTCAGTTTCAAAATGGAGCTTTCTTCTTGCATTTAACTTCCTCTTGGTATTGTGTATAGATATTGATTTTTATTAGGCCCCCTCAAAGAGTACTTTTTAGTAAGAATTTCTAATGCTGTATATTGAAAATGACTAAGTTTCTGATATGCATTTTCTAATATGCATCTGAATTAAACATGTTGAACCTGAGGGAGGTAGGGAATAATAATCCAAAAGAAATGTAATAGAAAAATTCAGATTGATAATCTTTAGATTTTTCACTATATTAATGGTTACTATAAAAAAACCACTTGTTTACTGATTTTAGTACAATTTTAGTAAAATGTAAAGAGCTTCAAAGTATCTAATTTGAAAACTTAACATCTGTCTATATTTCTGCATATTGTAACTATTTACATTGTTCAGACTGTTGTCATCCTCTTTATTACCATATTCACCATGTTTGCTCTGGCCTTCTTCAGGTGATATTGGGGGGCTTTTTTCCATTTGTTTTATATATATATATATATATATATATATATATATATGATGTTGACCAATGGCAATATTTCTCAAAATAAAATCATAGAAACCTCAATTCGTATTTAAACCAACAAATATTGGTCTTATTAAGAAATACTATTTTTGTAATAACAATCAGATCTTGAGTCATTAAAAATAACACGATTGAATATAACAATACCAACAAGTATTTTCATCAAATCATTTAATAAACTAATAGCAGAAATAAAACATAAGAACTATGGTAAAAAAATTTTCTTTCTTGATTGTCATGTTCAGTGTTATTTAAGTCCCTTTTGATACTCCAGCAGTATCATGTCCAATGGAATAGGTGCATTCAATTGGAATGTCTTTCGTTGGAGTTTCTTTCCAACTGTGAAAACAAAATGCTCACAATGTGTTTGGTTTCCTTCCATAGTGATGGGATAAATTTATGAATGTCAAACAGAAGATTTTAGGGTTTCATTTTTTTTTATGTCACCTTAATTATCAGGTTTACTAAATTATATTACTGATAAAGTTTATCAGTTAATTTGAATTTTGGCAATAAATTGGATTTGGTACTTCTGTTTTAAATTTTTCTCTAACACTTTTTTCTTATAAAAGTAGCTTATTTCAGGTGGCTGACATAAATTGCTTGGTCTACCTGAAAATTAATGGGTTTCTACTACCTTTTTATCAACTAAATTTTGCGATAAGCCAAAATTGTAAATTGATCTTTTCTATCCAAAAATGAGCAATTTCAGTACAGTGAAAACAGTAGCTAGCCATGAAAAACTAAGGTCAATTTTTGGAATTGGCAGCATGAAATTATCTAAAAAAATGTTTTGTTTCTTCGTGCCAAAACTCGTGTTGTCCAGTGTTATTATTTATAACCTATCTCCTAAGAAAAACTGCTTCCTTCATTCCCCCTCTCCCTGAAAAGTAAAATCTCTAAGATACTCATGTTGGCTGTTTATTTTATTTGGTAGCTGCTCTGGTTAACCTTTTCTGAAAGGTTGGTTTATTAATGATCACCTTTTTTCAGAAAAGTTGTTTCATTAATCACGTTATAATTTTGTTTTGAAAATGTTTTGCTAGTGTTTTTGCTATTTAATAGGTTGTGGACGTGCTATCATATTTCTTTTTCTCTCAAATATCTATAGATTATCTATCAGATTTTTCTACTAAAGAACTTTTTGATATTCTTACATTTTGGCAGATCCATTCCCAAGAGCACCTGTCCATGTAAAATGATCATTGAGATCATTTTCTTATTGTTCCCTGCCCCACATTAACTGTGCATTGACTGGATTATATGAAATGGGATGGGGGACAAAAAACAAAACATTGTATTCATTTGTCTGAAAATCTTTGACTGATAATGGCTCTTGTCAAAATTCTGAACAAAAACAAGTTTTCTGGTTCTTCTTTTTTTTTTTCTCTTTTTTCTCTCTCTCCCCTTCTCTCTCTCTCTCTCTCTCTCTCTCTCTCAAACCATAGAGGAAATTATATTTCATTTTAATACTGATTATTTAAATGGTCCTTCTGCAATCACTTAGATTTTAATTCAGTATTGTCCTTTTCGTCAATTTCAAAATTTTTATAAAATTGAATATGCCAGAGTTTTTGTGACTGGTTGTTACAATTACAATTATTTAAAAAAAAAAAAATTGTCAGTATATGAATTCGGATGATGCAAAAATAAACTTGATTGATGATTGAATAGAAATGACTATTGGGATAGTGGAACTGAACTTTTTAAGCTTAATTATAATAGCAAATAATGCTGCTGAAAAAGTTTTAGCATGACCATCTTTACATGTGTGTATTTCTAAGGTATGCTATATTCATGGTTTAAAGGGCTCAATATCAGGGATAGAGCATATATAAATATATAAGTGGACAGTATGGAGCATCCTGTGAGAATCAAACTCACTACTTGGTTATAAGTTATCTGTGAGACAAGCTTGCTAACAAATGATTTTTAAGCATAGCTTAGATTTGGCACAAGGACGAAATAAATAATATATAATCACTTAGTTGGGCCAAGAATTTCTCAGCTTCTCTCCATAGGTATAATTTTAATTGGTCATCAGTATTGATTATTTAATTGGTATCAGATTTAATCGGTTAATCTATTTTTATGGGTGTCTTTTTGTCACTGTGCTTAACGAGACACAATATAAGATTTTTTTGTTACATGTGTGTTTTTTATTTATTTATTTATTTATTTATTTATTTTTTTTTTTTTTTTTTTTACTGCATTTATTTTTGGTTTTGTTTGCTTAGATTATTAAACAAGTTGAAATAATCAGTTATTAAAAAAGTGTTAGAAAAAAAAAATCTCTTCGTAAATCTAATTTTGAGATAATCTATTTTCATATACATGTTTTGGCTTGGGTTTGAAAAAAGCTATATGAACTTAGTTTTGATTTCAAGTAATTATTGTAGTGATATCATTTTTAATACAACATAAGTTATACAAAGTACTAAAGGAAAAAAAATGTAATTGGTAATTGTTTATTATATAGGGTCCCTATCCTAATGTGCCCATTTGCCCTCCCTTAAATATTTTGGTCTCTTACCTCCCATGAACCTATTTTGGACCTTCTTATTTTTTTCAGAACCAAACGCCAAAGGAGGGGGATGTGGGCCCAGTAATTGAAGTGAGTACTTGGTCGGTCAACCTACCAATTTGTTCCGATACAAAATCACAAATTACTACTATGATTGTTATAATGAAGAGGTTTTATTTTATTTTTTTTATTTGTTTATTTTTTTTTTTTTTTTTTTTTTTTTTTTTTTTTTTTTGTTAGCTTTGGGATATAATGACAAAAAATGAATGACTATTTTTTTTTTTTTTTTTTTTTTTTTTTGTGGTAGACCTACCCACGGTAAAATTAATTTTTGAAATGTGGGGGGTGTGAGATTTCTTATCTCACAATAGAGAAAATATCTATTACTGCAGCTGTTGTTGTTAATAACTGCACGATGCCTCCTCCCGTTTTTTTTTTCTTTTTTCTTTTTTCTATTTGGTCATCTACCTAAATGAAACTGAGAAAGTGACTGCCACCATTGAACGTCATCTTGTAGAGTTCTTATTGAACAATGGAACATTTTAACATCCAACTCATTTGAAAACTTAAAGACCTTTTCTAATGTTTTTTGTGCACTTGTTTTTTATTTTCTGAATTGTCTCCTTGTCTTGATCAGCCTTAGAATTAATGATTGACTTTGGTATTTTGATAGCAACTTTTTCTATTTGCTGACTTCATGCTTTCATTAATGAGGATCGCTCTGAAAGTAATGCCTCCTACTTTGTTAGCCTACAATGTCATAGGTAAATGTTGGTAGTATGACAGTTGAAATTAAACCTTACCACCAATAATTATGGCATAACATTTTATAGTTATCAGTTGCCGCTAGCTGAGCAGCAATTTGGTAAAATGGTGCCTGACAAGAAAGTGCATATGAAGTAAAGTTATGTTATTGCATTCCTTTATATGGTTAAATATAGCATCCATTGATATCTGATAATTTGAGACCAAAAAGTAAGATTTGAGCAGGATAAAGCAGTGGAATAGTATTTCAGCAATGTGTATGTGACAAACCATATTCTGGATGGCCCTGCAAATTCATGAAATAAATAGCTCTTATTGAACGATAGTAACTGGAAAAGTTGCTCTATACAACAAAGTTGTTGTGCTCGCTTTATCAGTTGTAGTTTTCATATCAATAAATAAATAGAAGGCATTACTTTTACAGTGTTCCTCATACTTTTTTTTTTTCCTTAAACTTTTGTTTTAGCATTTACCAATTGATATCCTTAGATGATTTTAAAAGAAAATTTAAAGCTTTTTATCAATGTTTCAGACAATTCTTATCTAGTTTCAGAATTTATTTTTTTTTTTTTTCTTTTCCTCTTAGCAACTTTTCAAGTTTATAAGTTATATATATTGATTGGCATATAGGTATCTTCATGAGATCACTAAAAACAGAGCATAGCATGATGAAAGATGCCAAACTTGATAAACAAAATTTTAGTGTCTAAATGTTTATTATTAAGAGGAAAGATCAAAGTATTTATTTTTAAAAAATTTTCATTTTTAGAACATTGTAAATTTTTATTTTTTTTATTTATTTATTTATTTTTTTTTTTTTAAATACTTGTTTCTTTGTGTCACAGGAACTAGTAAAATAACAGTTTTAGCGCATTTTTTTCTGTATGACACACATTAATTTGGAAAATCTTGAAAAATAAAAATAATTGTTGGATTTTAATGAAACTTTTAGAAACTATTCACAAATGATGGAACTTATTACCCCCCCCCCCCCAAAAAAAAAAAAATAATTGTATGAAAACTATAATTTCAATTTTGGGAAGATTAGTGATTATATTAGTTAAAAGCACAAGGCTTTGAGGAAACCAAATCATGTTTGTTTGTTTTTTTTTTTTTTTTTGTTGGACCACCTCTACCTGAAAATCATCTCTGAATTGTAACATACAAAACTCAATAAAACAAAAATATTATTTAATTTCAAAAGCTTTTATTTATTTTAATGAACATGGACAATATTGTCTGAAAGCAAAAAGATTTTTCGATGAAAAATGAATTTTTAAAACAATTGTTATTTCTGAAATATTTTATTATTTTTACATTATGTTAATTCTAAAATTAGGGAAAAGTTTGTAGAATTTAACAAATGTTGTTAAGTAGATATAGATTTACAAATTATAATTTCCAAAGCTTCTTACAAACTAACGAACAACAGTATATAAAAAAAATTTGTCAATAATAACACTGTAAATCAAATCTACGGAAGACCGGAAGTATCATGCATGCAATAAAAAATGTCACGTGGATTGAGATTCTGTCTAGTATTTAACTTAAATACTGAATTTTTAATACGATTATTTATTTCTTTAATTATAATAGATTTTTACATTTAAGTTGTAAAAATATAAAATTAGTTAAGTCACATTCAGTTTCGTAAATGTCCTTTTGAGATTTATTTTTATGAAACACATGTGGAGAAGTTAATTTGATTTTTTCAATTTCTACTGAGAAGGGTACCTACAAGTATCAGTATCATCTTAGGAAATTTAAATTTGTATTTTATGTACACTTCTGATAAAATTTCATCAGAAAGGTACCTATAAATTAGATTCCTTTCTTATGAAATTTAATCTCACTCTCAGCAGTCTTATTTTAATTTCTTTATATTTCCATGAAGCATCGTAAATGTAAAAGTAAAAGCCAAGTACAAAAAAAAATTTAGAGCGCTGAAAGTTTGCCTTAAAATAATGAGGTAAATAATTTGTTTACTTAAATCTAAATAACTTCACTTCTCTCCTTCTTTAGAAGGAATTGTCCTCACGTAAGCTATCAAAACGTCATGAATGTCTTTCGTCGCCTGTCAAGTGACGCGAAAGGTTATGTCCTGCTTTGTTTTATTATCAAACTGTCTTTTTGGTGCAGAAACTAAGTTAAGCTTGGTTCAAAATATTTTAAATAAACATAATTTCTGATTTTCTTAAAATAAGTTTTGAAAAAATTATAAATTTATGAATTTTTTTTTTTTTTTTTTTTTTTTTTATAAATTGGAAAAAAAATGGCTGACATGATCGATTATCTATCAATTTTGCTGACTAAATAAACAAGATTTTTAACAAAAATTTTGGATGTGTTAGAAATGATTAAAAAATGTAAAAAATACCCCCAAAATACTTTGATAGTTTTCTCTTAATAATAACAAACATTTAAATGATAAAGTTTTGTTTTCGTCAAGTTTGGCGTCTTTTTTGTCATGCTATATTTTTTTTAGCAATCTCATGAAGGTACCTACATAAGTATCACTAGCAAGTACATGTGAGGAGTTAAATCTCTTAAAAGTTTTATCTTGGTTGGTTGTCAAATAGTTTCACTAAAGTGTCCTTTAATAGCCAAGTGACAGTGTGCCATTTTATTTGATTGCTGCACACTCTTGCCAAGCCAGAATGTCTTGGATTTCAATAGAATTAATGAGTTGATGTACAGGATGTTTTGCAGTAAGATACAGTTCCTTACCCTTCTCTATAGGCTTTATTATTTCTTGGACTATTTATTTATTTTACATTGACAACTCTTTCTGTTAATCTATGGGGACAAGGAGCAGACAGTGCAGGGCCAGAAATAAGATAATCTCCCCTTGGGTTCAAACTAACATCTCTTCTCCTAAGAAGCCTCTTTTTTAATTTGACCTCCAGTTCACAACCCTGCAGTTAATTTTGAACTCTGATCTTTTTTTGGAGGTTGTATAGTATGTGCCTCACCAGCGCTACATAAGGTTTTGGATTCACAGTTGTCTTTCTAGACTAGGTGCCAACTAGTGCTAGAGGGTTCAGACTGTTCTGCTATTTAAAGCTTGTGAAAGAAGAGATGGATTCATGCCTTTCTCAAGGGTATTTGTGCAAAGGTCAATGTAACCAAATCTGACAGAATTTGACCTCCTGTCACGGATTTCTTTCTAAGTCACTAATCATTATGACCCGCACACATTTAAATGCCATGCTATGAGCGTGTAACAGCAGAAAATACATAATAAAAGAGTGTGTGTGGAGTTTATAGGTTAGACTTGCATTTTTTTTTTTTTTTTTTTTTGTAGTAGAGGTGTTAAATTCTTCAGGTATTTACTTCGGTGGCAGTTGGGAGGGGGATGTCCTTTCAATTAAAGTTGATCCTTTATTTCCAATCCTACAATCTACTCACTGTGTCATAAATTGATAGGCTAATAATAAAAGCTAATAGTAGTTGACAAATACTTTGTCTAATAAAACTAATGAAATAACACTGCTCCTCCTCCTCCTTGTACACCATTAAAAAAAAAAAAAAAAAAATTTTATTTATTTATTCATTCACTATCATTTAGTGTACGTCCTTTCTCACCAACCAAAAAAAAAAAAAAAAAAGGCCCTAAAAGCAAAAGTGCAAACCATCTTTGTTTAGAAGCGGTCATTCCATTTGCACATAAATAAGCCTTAGAGAATGTTTGGAAAGCAAATGCCACTTACCTTTGCAGTGCAGTTGTCCGGAGATTTCTTCTCTCTCTCTCTCTCTCTCGGCAATCTTTGGGAAATGTTTTCTAAATTTTTCTTACAAGTTTGCAATGTTTGTTTGTTTTTTTTTTTCTCTCTCTCTTATACATTCTTTTTAAATAAAACTTTTACACTTTTATAAAAGTGGTTGTTCCACTTTAGTCCAAAAATTGATAGAAATTTTTACAGTAATTTTTTAGTGGAAAAATAATTCTTAAAAATCTTTTTAATTTTTGAAAGTTGGTTGTGTGGCATCAATTTTTTTTTTATTTGAATTAAGCAGCATTCAACTTCGAAATAGCTCAACTAATGCCAGAATGTTTAATCTTTCTTTCTTTCTTACCTAAAAAGCATGCAGGCCCTATGGATGATAACTAAAATGATGGCAAAATTCAACCAATCGACTACAAACATATATATATATATATATATATATATATATATATATATATATATATATAGCATTTACTCCTTAACATGACAAAAAAAACTATCAATACCATTTCCTTCCATTAATTACAATAGATTCACTTAGCTATCATTTTCTCAAGGACATATGAAAACTTTTTTTTTTTTTTTTCCCAAAAATATAAGAAACAAAGATAGCTTTCTTTTAACTCAAATTGTGGGCATTTATATTTTAATTTGGAAATATTTTTATGATTTTCCTTTTGCAAAATCTGTTGGTGTCAATCCATAAATCCTAGACATGAACGCAGTTATTAACCATTGGATTATACCCCCTCCTCAAGAGAGAAGACAATACTTTGCAGATTTAAAAACTTTGAATCAGATCCACATTCATAGATCCTGCTAAAAATGCACTTATAAAATTATGCAAAATTGCTTTGTTCGGCATGACTGTCAATTTTGTTTTAAGCTTGACATCTTCTGTAAATGGTATTAGTAATAATTATGATCATAACATAAGATGAAAGTGTAAAAAATAGAAATGTAGCATTTGGCTTGACAAATTTGCAAGTATAGATTTTGGTTAACCTCACAATGTTTGCTTCAATCATAAATCTGTGGTAGAAAATGTTTTCAATAGATCCAAAGACCCTCCAGCAAACACTGTTATCATTTGGAACTCTTAAATTATTGAAGACCAAATGGAGCTGTAGTCTTATTTTTGGTAGGTGGGGTGGTATCTAAAATGGCTTCTATCTAGTACAGCAATCAGTTGATAAAGTTTGCCTCCTGTTGAACAACATGAAATATGTTGGGCTCTTATTTCATTCAGTGTCTCCTGACTTGTGAGAGTGTGTCCCAATGGTTGCAGCATGGAGAAGAGGCTAACTTGTTGCACTCTTGAAAGATCACTTAGTGTAATGAGTGATGTAAATACACATATTCTGCAACAAGCCTGTTGCCTAATGATAAAAAATTATTTTACCCAACAAGTATTTGCTAATGTTTCCTTTGTGAATGCACTTAATTCAGTAGTGAATATTAATCATAGATTAACCATTATGCATTGAGAATTTCACACTCAACTTCAATGATTAACCGTGTAAAGGTATAGAAATTGATGCACATCTGTTGATGTAGAACAACTCAAAATTAATTAATCAATGCATGAAGTGTGCTCAATGTTAGGGGTCAAGAAATGGGGTGATTAGTGGCATGATAAAGCCCATTCTTTGGTTGCAAATATGTTAATATTATTGATGCACTTGAATACGCCCCATTGATCTGTCCAGATATGCTCTTATGGATTCAAGTTTTGCAAGAATCTAGGTCATTTAGAGGCAAGAAATCTAGTCAAGATAACATTTTTTTTCTTTTTTTTCTTTCTTCTTTTTTTAAATCCATTTAATTTGGTCCCTTTGATCTTTTTAAATGACAAATAGGGAATTTGATTATTTTTTTTTTTTTTTTTTTCACACACACACACTGACAAAAGGGAAATATTGATTGTGGAAATGTAAATGTTTTTTCTCTATTTACTTTTAAATAAATCAGCAAATTCTTGTTAAGGATTTTAATCCCACTGCAAATGTTGAAACATTCAAAGAGAAATCAACTTGTTTGTTTTTTTTTTTTTTTTTTTTTTTTAACTCATCGTAACTTTAGTGATTTAACTCTTAACTTATCCAGAATTTTGCTGTAATCCTTGCATTATTTTTCTCTATCCAATGATTTAAAGATATTTTAAGTTGTACAGGAGAATTGATTTTGAAGATCCTGTGTTTTTTAGATGTTAGAATTTTTTTTTTTTATCTTTCTTTCAAAGGCAAACATTTTTGTATCAATTTCTGAATGTTTCCAATAGTTATTTCGACGTTCTATGATTTTATTTATTTTTGGTTTTTAAATCTAGTACAAAATGTCTTGTAAGTTGCTTGGTTGATTTTTCTTTTCATTATTTTTCCTTTTATTTTATTTATTTATTTCTATTTTTATTTTTTTTTTTTTTTTGTGTGTATATGTGTAATCTCTCAATTTTAGCATTGTTGTTTTTCAGCTTCGAAAATGAAAATTTGTTTAAATGAATTTTCTCTTTTCCATCACCTCCTTCAAGTTGAATGACTTGGACTTCATTTTACATTTATTTATTGTGTGTGTTTTAATTTTGATTGAATGTTCATTTGCCATTTTCTAGATTTATATTGTTATCCACCCTGCCTGATTGGGAAGCTCCTTAGTATCCTTGGATTAGGCTACTTTTCTATCCTCAGAATTTAACTGGGGGGAGGGGGGAAATAGTTTGGTACCTTGAGAAAATGGATGCAGATACATAAATAAGTCAAGTCTGATGATGATGAAAAGCATTGACTTTTCACAAATATTCTTTTGTTAGTATTGCACTAAACCTTTTATTTAAAACAACTTTTTTTGCATGGCCTTTCTTCATCTCAACAGTGAAACTAGTTTTCTGTTTTAGTGTGATCAATTAATAAACTACCTGACTGACAGGAAAAATGTAGAACGTCTTAGTGGTGAAAGTGTGTGTGTGTAATACATATATATATATATATATATATATATATATATATATATTTATATATTTTACGAAGAACTTTGTAAACCAAATGGGTAATTCCAAGGAGGATGAAATCCTGAGAGCTCAATGTGAATACAGAGCTAATATTTAATGAAAAAAACGGACCTGATGATCTGGAGTCCTTTAAAAAGGATTTTGATGAAATAAATTATTGTAATGGTACCTTAAAGTGGTCTGTTTTTTCATCATATATATATATATATATATATATATATATATATATGAGATGTTATAATAAAAACACTTCGAAATCGCTACACAAAAGTTTTCATGTTTCAATATTATGATTGTATTTTATTTAATCACTGGTTACTTACCATTGTCTTATAAAAATATAATGCTCTACTACATATTGAGCACTTTTTTAAAAGTAAATGCAATGAACAGTGGATTTTTTACTCTATCTGTTCTTTCTCTCATTTTTTTTATATATATATATATATATATATATATATATATATATATATATATATATGTGTGTGTGTATGACTTTAGATATCTTGCTTGTGGCCACATGACATTGAAACATCAGTTCTCATACAATCACTGAAGTTAAGGAAAATCTAGCCAGGTCAGTACATAGATGGGTGACTGCTTGGGAAGACCAGGTGCTGTAATCTTGGTTGCGCAGGTAGTATAATGGATTGGAATTGTTAATTGGAGAGCTGAGTTTCAATTCTAATTGGATCCTCTATATTTACTTATGTACAAATACTTTTGAGAAAGCTATGAATTTACCTCTTCTTCCGTGCTATAGGTTAATTAAGACTATCACTAGATCATTATCTCCACAAAAAAAAAAAAAAAAAAAATCAGTTCTTACGACTAAAAATATTTTTTGACTTTAAATAACCTGTAAAGGTTGATAAGCCGTAGAATATGAATCAATCAGTTGTAGATATCTGGGCAAGATTTTTCATGCCACTTTTTTTTTTTTTTTTATGCTGATAAATTTTAGCAATACACAATTCTGTACAAATATCAGTATAAGGGAATTAAAGAAACTTAATCTTATTTTATATTGCACAAAAGAGAATGCCTTGTGGCATTGAGTGATTTAGACTTGAGTAACAAGTAATGTTTAGGATTTATTTCCCTATCTCTCTAACCAAATGGTCTCACTGATATCTATCTCTCTCTCTCTCTCACTCTTTGTGTGTGTGTCTCTCACTCTTTGTGTGTGTGTGTGTCTCTCACTCTTTGTGTGTGTGTGTGTCTCTCACTCTTTGTGTGTGTGTGTGTCTCTCGCTCTTTGTGTGTGTGTGTGTGTCTCTGTGCTGTGTGTGTGTGTGTGTCTCTCTCGCTCTTTGTGTGTGTGTGTGTCTCTCTCTCTTTGTGTGTGTGTGTCTCTCGCTCTCTTTGTGTGCGTCTCTCGCTCTCTTTGTGTGTGTGCGTGTCTCTGTGTGTGTGTGCGTCTCGCTCTCTGCGTGTGCCTCTCGCTCTCTGCGTGTGCGTCTCGCTCTCGCTCTCATGTTTTTATTATTGCTCTCAAATTTCCAATTTCTTTTTAATAATCTTACTTGGCTTTTTTTTATTTCTAGCATTTTTTTTGTGTTTTAATTATTGAAGTTTTATTTTTTTCATCTTGGCCTTGTAGATTTTTGCAAAGGAAAATGAATGACAGCTTTGTGCCCCCCGCCCTTCCAATACTGATGTTTCTCTTTTTGTTACAGCTGCTGTATGAAGGTCTTTTAGGCTCCAGCTCAACTCTTTCACTCCCCACACAACTCTGCCCTCTCTTTGCCATATAAATGTCTTCACTTGCCGTCAATCAAGCATAATTTAGAATTTATTTAGAACTTGTTTGTCTGCCGTATGCCTATTCCGTGTTCTTACGTTTTGTAAATTAAAAGCAAAATTTGTCTGAATTGAGGCATTATCATTAATCCAAATGTAAATAATCTTCTCATCTTTTGCTATCACAATGTTTTGGCTATTATGTTGTTGGTCCCTCTTTGGATGTGTGTCAATCTTGGTAACCTTTAGGAAATTCTGAACTGAGCCCTTTATTTAATCTACAGTGGGTAGATTGTTCTTGTTCCACTGTTCATGTCTAGAGATGTGTTGTCTTATTTTTAGTCCTGTTCAGTTGCATGTAGATTAAATAAAATGTTCAAATCAAAATTCCCTGAAGGTTGGCTGGATCAACAGACATCTGAAGAAGTCTGGGGACACACAGTGGCTGAAATGAGTATATTAGTTTGAATGTAAATAAAAGCAAAATTGCTTGATCCAATGCTAATCAGAAGTTCCATTTGGATCTGCTCTCTCAAACAACTAAATTTAGTTGTAATTTGCTTTGTTTGGCTGAGGCAAGGTGAGACATTAATTGGCAAAAGATGGATTATCTGTAATGAAGTTTGTTGCTTTGTTTTTTTTTTTGTTTTGTTTTGTTTTTTTCATTATATATAGTGGCAGTGAAGGCATTAGTTAGTGTTGGCGGTTTAATGTTTTGTTTCATGTTGAGACAATCATCTGTGGTCCCGGTGTATAAAGATCGGGTAATGTCTAATCAGTAAACCCACCTTAGTTCACAGCATGGGACAATTCTTTGAAAAAATCAGGCTCTGCAAATTTGTTGCTGTTGGTCTTTTATTTTAATTTTATTTTTTTTAATAAATATCCAATGTAAAAAAAAAAAAAAATTATTCGATAACATTTAGATCAAAGTGGTATTTTGCTTATTATTAACCTTGAAATTTTATTTTATTTTTTTGGTGACTGGTCCCATGACTGTTTTTGAATTGAAATTCCTCAAACTGGATTTTATTTCTGCCAAGGGTAGAATTGTTTATTGCAATAAGAGGATGGTTTCTTCCACACCAGGGAAACTTAGGCCATATATACAGTAATTCTTTTGCTCTTGTTTCTGTTTTTTTTTTTTTTTTTTTATTCCAGTTATTCAGGCTATTAACAACCTACTCTCACCATTTAAAAAAAAAAAAAAAAAAATTAGGACATATCCTGTCTTGGTACAATGATCTACCACTTGAGGTATGAAAGCTAACATAGAAATCAAAGCATATGGACTTGTTTTCTTATCTACTCTCCCCAAGTTTCTGGCACTGCTGTCATAGATCTCTTTGCATATGTTGGTAGAATTATCATGAATAATATTATTAGACATAGCATTGTTGTTAATTTTGTCTAATTTTGCTTGCAGTTAATTTTTCCTAAATCAACCACTAAAAAAAAAAATGCAAGATGAATACCTATAAGGCTTCACCTGTTTAATAAAATTCTGTGTTTTGAGTCCCTTTTCAGATGTTTATCTGACATAAACGAGAGATCAGCTAAATCTCTTTTGTAAATGACACATGGCAAATATTGCTTATGTCCTTTTTTTTTTTTTTTTTTTTTTCATTCTTTCTTACAGAATGACTAAAATCTTAATTTGTTGCATAGTGTATTTAAGGGAAAAAAAGAAAGTCACGCTTCAGGTAAAAATTCAAGTTTATTAAATATTTGACACAAAACCAAATAATTTTTGAAAGCCATAGCTCGTTAACAGTAGGCTTCATCAATTGATTTAAACTTTTCCCAACGATACGAGCATCATCATTCATAATTTGAGTCTTAATGACTAATTGGCAACTAGGATTCAGGAGGTTGTCATTTCTTGGAATATTTGTTGCCAAATGAAGGACAAACCAAACATAGTGCTATGTCTGCAGGCATATTTTTCAAAGAGAAAAGAGGTGAAAAATGGTGATACCTTGGTGTAATGAATGCATAATTATATTGTACGTGTAGAATGCTTTTAGGAATATCATACTGTTCCTAGCATTTGATTTTATGCTTTAACTTTATAATCTAAGAGAGTTAAAATCTAATTATATTTTTGTACATGCATGTTTGTGCAAAGTTTTTCCTTCATTTAAGGGATAATAAATGAGTTTTTCTCGTTTTTAGATAAAAATTCCCGCTTTAAGGAATCTATTCATCCTATAAATATTGCTTATTGTATTTGTTCTACTTAGGGAGAAGGTGAATGTTAATTGATGTTCCATTTTCATTTTAAGTCATGTGCTGGAACAACAAAAACAATTGTAAATATTATGAAAGAATTGCATTTTTCATGTCTTTACAAACTGGAATTGGAAAAAATATTTCTTTGGCATTGAGGAATTTTAAACTTGGGGATTGGATTGAAATTTAGAAAAATCTTGTATACTCAGCGGTTTCTTTTGAACAGTCAACTTAATTGGTATAAACTTACCCCCCTTTTTGTTGTTGGATTTTATTTTTACTGATCATTTTCTTTGGTGTGGAAGAAGCTCGGTGTAGATGGGTGGTTGTGCAACTTCAAGGTTGAACCAAAGCTGGCTGGAAGGTGTTGAAAATGGCGTAGCAAACTTGACGGGTTTTCAGTAAAACCCTTTTACATTTTAAATTTTTATTTCTCCATTGGATTTTATCAGCCTGGAAAAATGGCTGCTAATATTCTGATATTTTCTTCAGTTTTTTAAAAATTTTTTTTTTTTTTATCTATAAAGATTATTTTGGTAAGTATTGATGAAAAATATTAAAATTGTCAGACTTGAATATTTTTTTTATTTCTGCTTTGACACAAATATCAGTGAATATGACTATATATAGTGAAACACTAGTAATTTGAAATGGAAATTTTTTATTTTTACTAAAATTTATTTATTGACAAGACATCTGTTGGAAAGAATGTGTTCTTTTTAAGGACATGGAAATTCTAGAATTTCTCTTTCAATCTCTAAGAATTCTCTTGGAACTTATTTGGTGCTTCATTAAAACCTGATGTTTTGATCATTCACGAAAGTAACTGAAGATTTTCAATTCCTTAGATGCAGTCAACAAGAATTTTGAAGGCTTTTGGTAATATGAGCAGCAAGTTATAAGATGGGGATATTACATGAACCATGCCATCTATATAAAACCTTGATATGATTCCTTCATTTTGAAAAAGGATCATTTTGTTCGGTTTTGAATAAAAAGGAGTCTCTTTAGAATCTTTTAAAAGATGTTTTTTCCTCCTTATTGATAATAACCAGAAATTCTGGTCACTACTGATTCCACCTTTAACATCAGTGATAAACACCATATTAATGTGGAGACACAAATATGTGTGATGCCTTCAAGAATTTTAACTTCCTTGACAAGGTAACCATTGCAATATAGAAAAACCTCATGGCTCACTGTGGTCATTAAAATTTACCACACACTGCAGGCGAGAATAGTTGCCATAGAATTCTCACCCTTACTACTATCAGCAATTTTTTTGCCTGAGATGGTTGCTATAAATAGACACTTGTCAACTGTTATTTCTGGTAATTTAATCGCCTATTACTGCTTTGGGACAAAGCTAAGCTTCTGTTTTCCAATGCTATTTTGAATTCTAGACTCTACATGAGGTGTAACAGATTAAACCCACTTTTTTTTTTTTTTGGGGGGTAAACAAAAATGGCCGCATTCAGGAGTTTTTCTTTATTAACCCTATGTTGAAAATTTTGAAGGCTTTACTCTAGTGGATATTGATGGTGATGTGGTTGGAGATGATAACCACCCTAGTGACATGGAGGAAAGCAACGATGACCACTAGCGGCTACTGTCATCCATGCCTGAGTAATTTTATGGAAGCTACGAGCGACCATCAATATTGATATACCTGATAGCCTTTCTGAAGGTGAAATATTTTGTCTACTTATAAATGGCGAAATAACTTTATTCGTCAATGAGACAAATGAGTCAGGTGAAAGAAAGAAAGAAAACAAATTCTAATGTCTTCTTGTATGTAAACACGAGGAAACGGGTCACTTTTTTGACAAAATGAAAGCCTTTTTAGCAATTTTTGCTTCACAAGCAATAATAAGTGAAAGTACGTTGAATTAATTACGTATTTTTTTTAATGTATTTTTTTTGTTATCAATGTCAAAACTTGCATACAAAGTGTAATGCATTACATCAAAATATTATTCATTCTTTTATTAGTGTACAAAAATTAAAATCTAGATACGCAATACAGATATAACAATTTTAAAAAACAGGTGTTCATGTGTTTGCACCCTCAAAAAAAAAAAATGCAGTGGCTAGGGGAACAATTCTAGCAAGAAATTAGCATGGTAAAGGTTAATGGTTGGGATAATGCTATTTCACTATTAATGAGTGTGGAGTGGAGAGTAATAGACAAAGGAATTGGAGAGCCAAATTCAAATTTCATCAGAGTTCATTATATTCACTTACATTTTAATTCATCTCTTCTCTCCCCAGCTATGGATAAATAGCACGACAGACTTACAGCCATGGTTGGTGACTAGTATAGGAGAACGAAAACTCTGAATTCAAACTGGCCTCAAGAGGGTTGGCCTCCATTAGTAGGTGTTGACGCTAATGGATTATGGGACTTGTGATGAACTGATGGACAATTTTTTTGGCACAGATATTTTTAAAAACAATTGCATAATTATTTAGGAACAAGTCTTATGTATTCATTAAATTTAGGATGACATGAATTCTTTACTAGATGGGAATTTGATAATATTTCTGAATAATGCATAAATTTGAATTCTTTACATTGAAAGGATTATATCTTGAGAAAATGTGCCTTTATTACAAAGATATATGAAGCTTGATAAGTCAGCGGCTATTACTACTACTACTACTTTTGGATGCATTAGAATGTGAATGATTTGACATACTTTATGGTTTAAAACCGATAAACTATACAATGGGTTTTCCCCCTCCCCCCTCTTCCTGTTCATATTCTGAACATGGTGAGCTTTTTAATAGCAGCAGCTCTTTATCTTTTCGCTCTGTTTCTGTTTTCAAAATCTTTCAAATGGACGATCTTAATAAATTATGAAAATCTTAAAAACCCTCCTTTAACACAATGAAATGAAAAGGTAATTTTAGTTATTGCATATTCCACCTGACAGTTTTCAAGGAGAATTTATTTGTCATCATTTAATTTTCAAAGAAATGTAGGTTGTGCATGTGTTTCTACACTTTGGAGATATTTGCTTTGCAACAATTTTATTTGCAAATGAAACTTGTCCTGATTTGAACAAATAAACCTCTCAAAAACTTAAATGGAGCAATTGATGTTAACGACCCCCTCTCCCCCCAAAAAAATTGTGATTCTCTTGTGCTTTCTTTAACTACCCCCCTCCTCCAAGAGGCAGGGTAGTATGACATACGTGGAGACAAACATGTAGACAAGAACAGATATTGCCCAGTTTCCCCAATAATAGCAGATCAATGTAGTCTCCCCCCTAATTAATGGATCTGCTGCTATAGCAGGTCAAAGTAGTCTCCTGGTGTGGAGGGGGGGAATGATTCTGTCACTTACTGGCATTTAAATTTTCTCATTCTACTGTTGATGCTGCTGCTATTATTAGACTCTCTGCTGTAATAGTCATGAACTGATATTTGTGTTGAATGCATTCCCCCATTTGGTGGCATTCACTTTCTTAGTCTGGGACCATTTTGATCATCTTGTGTTCTAGTCTTTGATTTCTATGAACATTTCTATGTTCGATTTGTAACCCAAAACCTGGATAATTCATTTTTATTTGCTTTGTTTTTGATACAGTGTGAACCCCTAAAAGGAAAAGTTCACAAAATTCTCACCTGGAGATGGTCCGAACCCCCCAAAGCAGGGGAAGATGAGTTAGATCACACACACCATAATGAAAAGAAAACAGTAAGTTTATTTGCTCAAGTATTGGGCCTCCTTTTTTAATTTTACTTATGACATAATTTTAGTGAAAAGAGTATTTGGGGGATAAATTTTGGCGACTATCTGAGACCTCTGTACTAATTGCAAACTGTCTATCTGTAGCCAATATCTTTTGATTTTGATAAAGAATAATTTGAGAAATTGCTTTCAATAAGATTTAAATTGATATAAAAGAGTAAAAAAAAATGTTAGCTGTATATTGAAATCAAACATTGTAGACTTAGTTTGCATCAGTGCATTTTTATTAGTCTACCTACAATGTTTGAAAGTAAAGTTTGTTTAAAAAGTATGTCTTGTAAAAGTTGCCTCTCATTAAGTTCCACTTTGGAAGCATATAATGCCAACAGATAAGGAAGTCATATCTTCCCTTTTTTATGGAAGGATTACATATGAATAAGCAAGACTTTTGTGGAAATAAAATATTTCTTTGTCTTGGAAAATTATTTTATTGTTTTTAATGGTTGTATTGATTTTTATGAACACTTTTTTTTACCCCCCCTCTCTCTCCTTTACTCCTGCTTAGGAACACAAACCCACTCGGGAATTCTTTATCAAATGGCAGGACATGTCCTATTGGCATTGCAGCTGGATTTCTGAATTGCAGGTAAGCACATTGTAAATGGAAATGAATTTGAGAAAGCATTTCTTCGGTTATTCGAAGGTGACAATTCAAAGTATTACTGAATAGGGCTTTTGTGCATTCAGAGAATATAGTCATTTGGAGGGCTAGTGTTAAAATGAATTTACAGTATGGGTACAAATAGACTGATTTATGGTTTCACAATAGACCTGCAAATAGATTTATATATAAATTTACAAATAGGATAACAGATTAACAAAAGATTTATAACACTGACAAATATTACAGTTAAATCAAACACCTAATTGATTGGTTGTTTCTTATCAAGTTTGCAGAGCCTCTTGATAAACATTTTTGGTCTTTCTGTGTGGAGTATAAAAGAAATGATTACGATTGCTGACTCTTGAACATACCACATGGAGTTGGTTATGGGAGAAAACCAGTTCTGCAACATTAAGATCTTACCACATCCAAGGATTGCCCTTGAGTTTTTGTTAATGTTGATTGCAAAACTCTGTTTCACCAGAAATTGCAACTGTTTGAACTAGAAAGTCATAGCCAAGGGAATAAGTGGAATTTTAGGAATAAAGCCTTGCCATTTATTTTTCCAGTCAGAATTGTTGCCTCCAAGATTGTTGGCATCATCTTAATTGTAAGTTGTGTGCCGTTGCAAAGCTTCGGTGGATCCAGGTTTCTTAGCAGCATCAGTGGTGCTCCAATCTTGAGGTGGGAAGACTGCTGGTGTTAGGCCATTTAAAAATTCAACTGGATAATTCATGGCTTCATCTGCATTTAGTACAGTGTCAATGGAATTGTAGCTACAATGCTCACCTGGCAACTGTTTCAGGAGTTTGATATTCAAATCCTGAACTGCCACATTCTTTGGATCTAAAATGGCATGGTTTCTCGGCCACTTATGGTCTGTAAACTGATTCCTCATGTTAGGAAACAGCCTAGTTATTAGTTTCTTTTAAATCAGATACCATATGTCCAAAAGGCAAACTGACCAGGTGATCCTGCTTGCCAACCAAAGTGCCATTACCAACATCCAATAGTTGCTAAGAAAAAGTACCAGCTTCCTCATCACCACTGAGCTACCCTCTCATGTTGCTTGTGAGTCTTAGCTTTTTTTACACTTAGCTGCTCCACAGGTAGGAAGATTTTATACTGGCATTTACCATGTCCCTTTCAGAATCACTAGAAAGGTTTGCACCTCCCATGAACCATGTTTTGTGTCTAAGATCCAGAAGTGCCATGTCAAGAGCCTGAAAGGAATTCTTATGACTCATTGTCACCTAACCCCAGATGATTGATTTGCAATCACAGAGTAGTTTGCCTTTTATAGAACAATGACTGAGGTTGCAGGTTGCCTTCTCTTTCTTGAACAGGTCCAAAAGGACTTGGAAGCATGAATGAGCTGTGTGGCCACCACTTAGCAGGGTTGCAGCTATTCCACTTGATGCCACTGCTAGAGCAATACGTTTCATTTGGCACAGTTTAGCCAGAAGTAGGTTAATGATAAATGTCTTGCCAGTTTCACCTGGGACACTGAGGAAGAATAGATCTCCTCTTTCACCTTCAATGCTCGAAATAATTGTGTTATAAACACCCAGTTGGTCTTTCAGCAGTTTGTGTTTGTTATTCGTTATATATGCCATAATTTCCTCTGTGTCGTAGCTGATCTCCTGCATGTATTCAATTGCGAGATTGTTTGCTGCTTGCTCAGGTTGAGGTAGGGCAAATGTGGCAGTTCCTTGACCTCACATAGCTTGCACTCAACTTGTGCTCTTTGTTTGCACCTACTCCATCTACATGGTGTTCCAAAAGTCGCATTACCATTGATAACCTTGTAAATTTTATATTTTAAGTGGAATCCTGTTTCTGTATGTAACAATATATTATTAAGAAATTTTATTGGTCTAATTATGGAAGATGATAATCATGCAAATTTTCACTGGTTGCTATTTCACAAGTGTACGTTTTCTGCCAATTGTTACCTGACTTTTGGAACATAAAGTATTGTGTGTCCAGGTGTAGTAGAAGGAAACCTCAACATATGATAGTGTTTGTGCAAATTGGTCACTTTGGCATAATTTGAAGAAAGCTGTCAAAGTCGTTTCTGGTGTATACTCAACTCTGTTTCAAGTTGTATCTTCTGTGAAATATGCACGCTGACCATTTTCAAGATGAAGATTTATTGCTGTTGGATGCTGCTTATGGATTTCAAAGACTGGAATGTACCACATCACCTTGTTAGGAGAAATATATCTGCCCAACTGGTAGATTATGTATTGTATATTGGTGGGACTACATATGCACATGGGGTGCTGGAAATTTGAGAAATCTTTCTTTTGTTTAAAATCAGCCAAATTCATTTAGAGTATTTTTGTTTTTATCACTTTTGTAAGTAGGTATTCCACACTGTTCATTTCTGGCAGATCTTCAAAAGTGATAAAAAGAAAGACTCTAAATGAATTTAGCTGATTTTTAAATATATATAAAATTTTGAATGCAGTGACAGGCTTAAAAAAACAATTTATTAAATTTTTGATTTCAGCTTTGCTTTTTGTCATGATTCGTTTGAATTGACATAGTCTGATTAAACTGGTGTAATTAAAAGTAAAACGTAACAGGTTCATGCTGATTAAGGATGTTTTGGATTTTTAAGTAGGATGTTTATTTCCATAGCTGGATTTTTTTTTTTTTTTTTTTTATACAGACTCTATATAGCCTGAAAGTGGTCCTTCAAACGGGTTGTTATTCCCCATACAACCACAGCTATGATATGCCTTTTTAAGGGAAGGTTGAAATATGAGCTTAGTTAAAGTCTCTTTTTGGAAATATGCTCAGTTTAATTGTTTTACAATGCATCAAACAAATTTCTTTCTATTTAACAAATTTGAATTTGGCCAATTTAATGATGCAGGTTTACAAATTTTGAAAGATTAAAAATGTTAGTAAGCTTACAAGAATAAACCAACAAGTCTAACTTAGCCTGGTTTAGTGGCTGGATTTTGTTCTGAAATTTTTTTCACTGTATATGATTAGATTAAGGAAGTACATTATACTGAAAAAATATTTTCATCATGAGTTTACCTATTTGACTCCTGTAATTATTTAGTTCAACACTTGTCAGAAGAATCAAAACTAGATATTCATTGATTTTGTTTTTTCAGTTGGATGTGTATCATCCTGCTATGTATCGAAATTACATGCGCAAAAATGATATGGATGAACCTCCACCACTGGAAGATGGCAGCACATATGGCCAGAAGGAACGCAGTGACCAGGACAATTCTGATAACCTGGAAGAGAGGTTCTACAGATACGGTGTGCGGCCAGAGTGGTTGCAGGTCCACAGAGCAATCAACCACAAGTAAGTGCATAATACTATTTGTTAGTTTTTGTTTTAGCTTAAACCGTGTGTGTGTTGTTTTTTTTTTTTTTTTTTTTTTTTTTTTTCTTAAAGAAAATGTGGGAGGGGAGAAAACGGGTTTTAGTTGTGAGTGGTGGGGGAGATGTATGGTTAAACATTGAAGTAACATGAAAGAAGACCAAAATTTATTTGGCAATGTTATTTGATTTATTCTTGATGGAAACTATAAACTACATCCGGCATCCTGGGTAAGACAATAAACAAGTTCTGTTTTTTTTATTTTTATTTTTTTTTTTTTTTTTTTTTTTTTTGTATAATATTCTTCCCATATAGTGTTCGTATTTTGGACAGCTGTAAAAAAAAAAAAAAAAATTTTTTTAGGTAAATGTCTCCATAGAACTAGATTTGTAACTTGTATGCTTCTGCTCTTCACATTGGAGTACCTTTTAGCTTTTCTTGGTCTATTGTGCACCAGAATGTAAAATGTACAAATACATATATATAGTGATTTTCCAAGCATAGCTTAGATGTGGCACAAGGCCAAAAGTATGGGGCACCCAGTAAAGATTGAACTCACTATTCAGTCATAATTGTTCTATCGAGACAAACTTGCAATCCATTAAACTGCCTCAAGGCGTCCACAAATACATATGTACATATACTTAGAAAATGTTTATAAAATGTATGAGCATTCATTTTTTTTTTATTTTTTTTTTTTTTTTTTGTTTTTATTTATTATTTTTATTTTTTGTTACAGAGTGACCCGTGATGGAAAAGTGTGGTACTTAATGAAATGGCGAGATTTACCTTACGATCAATCCACCTGGGAATGCGAAGATACACTTAAAGATTTGAATCTAGACTGGAAAAAATATGTTGATGATTATGAAAACCTCAGGTAAATCCATGCCCCCCCCCAAAAAAAAACTGAAAATTTGTGTTCACTTTTCCACCATTGCTCTTGGCAAGAGCCATGAATGCATCTATTCTCCCAAGCCAAACTATGAGTTAAATGGTGTGATAAACTGGACTCTCTAGCCTTAGAGCGGCAACCAGTCCAACCCTATCAGTCCATAAGAAGAAATTTCATTATTGTTAAATCCTTGGAGTCCTGATTGAATTGTTGAAAAATCTGACTACGTTATGTCAGTTTAATTGCACTGATACCAAATCAAGACGCATTGAAAACAAAGTGGATTTTATGAGAAAGTAAATTGATTTCTCTTTCAAATGATACCAAATTTAGTTTCCTTGGTATGACCGGTTGTGAAATTTGTAGATATCGGCACCTCTAGTTGATGTGATGATTAACACCGTGTACTGAAATACAATGCAACTTGATTGTGGGTGCATTCAGGTGTGTGTAACTTGCAGATGCATTTACGCATTTCTGGCCATCAAGGGTTAAGAAGAAAAACTAAATTTCAAACTGGTGGGAGCAACAGAGAACTGCTCCATTATCTTGCCTAAGAAGGCATGGTAATTAACAGATCTCAAAAAAAAATAAAGTCCCAAGGGACTTAATTTTTTTTTGTTTTTTTTTTTACTAGTAGTACTACTACTACATCCATTATAGCCTTTATATAGGATATTTCTGAAAATCATTTAAACCTCTGTTACTTTGGGGGTATTTTACAATTTTTAACAAACTATTGGTGGCATCTGAATTTTTTTTTAACTACTTTCTTGCTGTTACTATTATTATTACTAGTAACAAACAAAATATTTTTCAACTTTTCATAATTGTCACTTTTCTTAAATTGCATTCTCTTAACTATTATTACTACTACTATTAAGAAAATATTATTTTTGAAAATACTGTTAAGCAATATTTCAACAGAAGGTCTTTAAGTTATATTTAAATAATTTTTTATGTGCAACCCACCTAAATCAAGTCTATAGTTTCTTTCAAAAGAAATAAAAACAGACGAATTTTACCAAATGTAAGTGTCCACACACAAAACAACATTGGAGTTTCAGATCATTGTATGGCTGAAAACTCTGATAGAAGAGGAAAACCCTGTGTGTTGTGCAACAACGAGTCATGTTAATTCTATCACAAATTCAAAGAGAAACCTCACAATTTCTACAGAAATTTGTACTGATTATTATATGCTGCCCAATGTTATCAAACCAGGTTTTGATTTATGCGAGTTGTACAACAAAAAAAAGTTAAGATTCAATGGACACAGGTATAATGTCAAATATAATGGAGCTTGCAGAACATTATTTTATTACAAATGACTAATTTCATCAAACCTTTTAAGGTATGCATTCTGAAAAAAAATATTCAGAATCTACCAACCTTTTGACCCTTAAAATGCTTGAGGATAGTTACGTATGCAAATTGCTAACTTCTTGGCCTGGGGGAATGAGCAGAATGATAGTTCCATCAGATTTATACCAAGTTGTTTGATTGATTCCTCTTAGTAACTAATCAACTAACAGAAAATTACAAGATCACCCTCATATTAAGCACATTTCAGTTTCATGCCTTTATGCTGGCAATGTTTCATCCATTTTGACAGTGGTTTTTTTTTTTTTTTTTTTTTTTCTTATTACAAGACAAGCAATCTTTGTACAAAGACATAATTTTTTGTAGATTTTATATATTTTTATCTTTGGAAAAAAATTGTTTAAATATAACTTGAAGATCTTCTGCTGACATATTGTTTAACATTGTTAAACACCGTTTTTCTTATCTTTTCGTAAATTGCAGTCTTCTCTTTATTATTATTATAATTATTATTATTATTATTATTCACGGAGAGAAGTTTGTGGTGATATTTGATGCTACTTTATTTTTATTTGAAATGAAAATCAAGGTTTTTAATAATATTAATCTTTCATGAACATCTGAAATGAAGTGATTGTCTCTTGTTGAAATCTGACCATCTCTCTCTCTCTCTCTCTCTCTCTCTTCCTTTACTCCAGGGCTATGATGTATGGCTCTAGAGATGACATGAAAAAGAAGAGTAAAGTGAAGGGCAAGAAAAACAAGGATGGCAAAGAGAGAGATTCTGACACTCCAACTCGAACAACAGCACCTCTCTACCCAACCACTGATGTAAGTTAAAAATGATTCTGCAATTTCTTACCATTATTTTTAGGAGATTACTTCTACCTGGGGAGAAATGTTTTTGAAATAGTGCCTTTTAATTAGGGTCGTCCACTTTTTTTGGCAAAATTTTCGATACCTAACTTTAAAATAAATTTTAAAAAATGAAAAAATATGCTTTAAGATTTCATTTTAGCTTTAATTGAAAGTTTAATCATTAAATTTATTATTTCCATTAAGGAAACAATTCTGGTGTATTTCAGATAGAAACTATATACATTGGAATGTCAAATTTAATTTTGGAATTTTAAATTTTCTTAAATCCCGCCATTTTCTTAATTTTAAGAAATTTGTAAACAAACACAAATTTATCGATTTTTAAAAAATATTTAAAAAAGTTTCTGACACGTTATTTTAGTAAAATTAGAAAATTTAAAGTTAAAATAATCTGATATGAAACAAACAGTACTTACTTATAGCTTAAAAAATTTGTATCCAAACATTTCTTAACGATGTGTCTGAATTTTTGCATGTCTTTCATCGAATTCGCACTGGACGAGGCGATGACAGACAGCTATGGATGATCAAAATTGACAAATTTTTTAAAAGTAAATGACAGTTTTTTTTTTTTAACTAGTACTTTTTAAATATTAACATTTTTATTCAGCAATTATGTACTATTTATTTTTTATTTCATACTTTCTTAATTAAACAATTGTTTAAATTTATTTTAAATTAATTAATAAAAAAAAATTATTTCAATAAAATATTATCCAAAATAAAAGAAAATACTTTAAAGAAAAATATTTAATAAAAGTAATTAAAAAATAATTACAACTTACTTTTAAAATTTGAAAAGAATTTCTGCAAACACGTTATTGATGTGGATCTGAACTGGACAGAGAAGAGAAATTTTGCGGTGCCAGACAACACAAATCACGTGACCTTTTTAAGGATTATGTCCCGTATACATTTCCATACATAGAAATTATGAACGTTTTTCAATAAAAATTTATTTTTAAAATTATTTTAAAAATATTTATGTATAAACGACTTATGTGCTTTTCAAAGTTCGATTCGTAAATTTCATTAACGTTATCATTGCATTAGCTGGGCAAAAGAAATAATTTTAAACGATTTTTGAAGTATTGAAAAATTTTTAAGATGTGGAAAAAATTCGCCAAAAATACATTATTCATCGAAAAAATTTTATTTCTTCACAAAATAATGTCCTTAGTATAACATATCTACAAAAACAGGTGGAAGCTTTTCTAATTAATTAAATGTCATACTTTTTTACATTTGTTTTTTTTTTTTTTTTTTTTTTTTTTACAATTCAAATCTGATTTTCTATAAATTAGTTAATGTTTTACAATAAAAAACTGATTTACTTTCTACAAAGATTCCTGTTTATAACTAATAAAAAAAATCCCGGGGGCACAGATTTAATTTCTTGAAATTTCATGAAAATATGTAAGTGGGTAGAAACATGTTAAAAAAAAAAAAAAATTTTAACAAGATTTTAAAAAAAAAAAAAAAATTTCAAAAATAATTTCATTCATTTCTGAATAAGTCCTGAAAATTTCATTAAAATCCAACAATTATTTGATTTTTGCAAGAATTTTAAATTAACGTGTAAAAATTTTCCTCGGGAAAAACAAAAATAAAACAAACCTTTTTTTAGTACTGTCGCATGTCAAAAAAAAAAACATAATTTTAAGCAAAATTTTCTACGTGCTAGAAAGGAGTAAAAAATTTCAAAAAATACTTAAAAAAATACTTTGGTCTTTCCTCTTCATAACAACATAAACATAACTTAAACAAAACTTTGTTTTCGTTGATTTATGAGTCATTTTTAATAGTGATATGCCGCTTTTTTACGTGACCTAGTAGATGTGCCTACTTTTAATCCAAGGGAAATTAAGTGGCCAATCCCATAATTGTTTTCCTCAAATGAATGCTATAAAACACAGTTCCTTGAAGAATTATCTCTGCAGCAAATGCTCGTATGATTTCCTTATTAGCAGATTATTATATGTAAAGCAAGTGTTTCACAGTTTGTTTTTGATGGTCCTAGCATTTTTTCCATCATGAATAAAATTTAAAGTCTGTGTTGTATTTTGATTCTTTTGAATGTGTTTTTTTTTGGGGGGGGGCATGATATTTCAAGATTCTTGAAACTTGTATCAGGTGACCATAACATAGGATGGATTTTGAGAATTTGAAGCTGTTTTCAAATTCCTATTCCAAAGATGCAAGCTTCTTTCTTGATAATTACTGAAGCCATTCAAATGCTCAGAACCTTAACCTGAACTTCACCCAATTCCTTCAAATTTTCAATGCTAAAATATGGAAACTAACAAACTGCCAATTAGAGAAACTTTTTAAAAACAAAATGCAAAACAACTTATCTGTAGATTTTATCAAAACTTGTTTAAACTTTGAAGAAATTAAATTTTATACGGCTTTAAAAACATGACTTTTAAAAAGCAAATATGAATATATACACAAACATTAAAACAAGAGCAGAGGAAGAGTAAAGATAAGCAACAAAAAAACAAAAAACTATGCACTGTAGTGAATCAAATATTAAAAGACCAGAAAAGGGCTCAACTGGGTATTACTCTTCAGAGCTCAATTGAGGACAAAATAAGTATGGACACTACCTAAAAGTGAGGGAAGAAAATAATTTTTTTTTTAATATTTTTTTGATTTACTGTCTGGTGAATAATTTTTTTTACTTATGCTTACTATTCCTCTTTCTTTTAATATATTTATTTCTCTCCATGAACTGAGTTAATGAATGACTGGTCAAAACCACATTGTCAGTTCCTAAGTTTGGCCCTCAAGTTTCTGTACTTGATTAACAAGAGGCAATACATATTACTTCAAATGTTATTATAGTGGATACATGTATTTCAAATAGACACACCATTTTTATCTTTTACTTTAAACTGTAATAGGTCTCTTGGCCTCACTTTTAAAAGAAAAATGAAGTAAATATTTCAAATACAAGTATCCACTATAATAATGTTTGAAGTATTAAATATGTTTAATTAAAAATCTATTAATTCTTTAGAAATATTAAGACGGCTGATTTGTCATACAAGCTTTTGGTTCCACTGTGGTGGCTGCTGTCAGATAAATTCATGTTCACCTTTGCATTTTCTTCCAGCTTCGAAAGAAACAGGATATTCAGCCAGAATACATTGACTCAACTGGTGGTACTTTACATGGCTATCAATTGGAAGGCTTGAACTGGTTGCGCTATTCCTGGGCCAATGGCACCGACACCATTTTGGCTGATGAAATGGGTCTTGGCAAAACCATTCAAACGATTACATTCCTCTACTCTTTGTTCAAAGAAGTAAGTATTTTTTTTTTTTTTTTTTTTTTTTTAATTTACAGAATGCGTAAAATTGATGCATGCACCAAATGATAAATATTTATATTTTGTGCTCATCTTTGTTATATTCACTATGCTCTGATATCTTCTTCAGGTGACTATATATATATATATATATACACATATATATATATATATATATATATATATATATATATATATATTGGAATTTCAAACTGAACCCTTTATTAGTCCACTGGGGTAGATTGTTATACTTCCACATGCCATGCCTTTTGTGGATATCTCAATTTTACTTATTTCCCTTTAGTAACTCAACTTTCCAAGTTTTTGTTCATCTGTGGCCAGGTATTGAATGCAACTCTTTAGGCCAAGTCACAGGAGATTACTTCCACTGGGCCATAAAGTAAATAGTTACAATATCTTATCTCGGAAATATAGACAGATGTCAAATGATAAATGTTGAATATTGTCTATCATAGATTCACTGTCAGGTGCTTTCAGGATTAAAAGATGCTTTTATAAAGCTGCTTTCTCCCTCTTTGTGAATATTTAGCAAAAGAAATTGGTGACTAAATTTAGTTTTTTATCCTCTTTGTTCTCTTTCAAATGATTTTGGATGATGTATTTTTTTTTCCTTTTCTTTTTAGGGTCACTCTCGAGGCCCTTTCCTTGTTAGTGCACCCCTCTCAACCATTATCAATTGGGAGAGAGAATTTGAATTCTGGGCTCCAGAGTTGTATGTTGTCACTTATGTAGGAGACAAAGATAGCCGTGCGGTGATCAGGTCAGTTGTCAGCCTTTATTTTTATTTTTATTTTTTTTTTTTGTGTTCATTTTGTTATAGAAGTAGTCCACTAGCATTAATATTAACTTGAAAATAGTATCTGTGTCTGTGTTATAATCTGATGAATTAGGGCCAAAATCCTGGTCCTAAGGAAATAAATTATAATCCCATGAACCCTTAAATTTGTCTGTTCCTTAATATAATTAATATTTACTCTGTTTTTACATTGAGCTCTCTGGATTACATCCTCATTGGAATTATCCATACTGACTACCAAATATCTACATTAAGTTAAGAGACACAACTCTTCTGAAAAATTCTTAGATCTGGATCCATGTTTAAAGACTCAGCCTGAAAAACATGAGTTAGAATCATAGGTGACCTTGAACCAGGAAGATTTGCTGTTGCAGCTTGGCAATGGAACCATCAAAATGGAGATATTTCACTCAAATGGTTGTGGAGTTTGTCTCAAGTATCCAAGACTTGATTAACCATGTTTATCCAAACATTAAATGCCATTTCATGGATTTAAACTCTTTTTGAGAGGGCCATATTAGCTGTCAAAAATCAAGTTGTGGATAGTATCAACTGGAAACTTCTCCAAGAAATCATAAAGTACTTTTCCATTGACGCTTTGGTTGAACAAGAGCAGGCAGTGAACTATTGTGATAGAATTCCAGGAGGATTCGGTGAGTTCAGGAATTCTATTCAAGCTGGAACTGAAATGTACCAGTTATGCTATTGAGAAATCTGGATCCTCCAAAACTTTGTAATGGAACAAAGTTAATTGTGAAGAAGTTGCTTCCTCATCTCTTGGAAGCAGAGATTCTTAATGGTCCAAGAAAGGAGGAAAGAGTTCTAATTCTAAGAATCCCCTTAATTCTCCCGGATCTTCCTTTGGAGTTCAAAAGACTTCAATTTCCAGTGAGTGTGAGCTATGCAATGTCAAGGACAATCATTGAAAGTAATTTGACTTCATTTGATGGAAACCTGCTTTTCTCACAGCCAGCTCTATTTTGGTTGTTCAAGGGTTGGGAATGGAAACAAGCTATTTGTACTGACCCCCAAATGGGAATACCAAAAATGTTTATCATGCAGCTTTGCAATAAGTTCCAAATAGACAAATTATCATTGTTTTTTAATGAAAACTGTTAATTGTTTGAAAAATATTGTTCAAGATAAATAAAATTTAATATGTACTCAATGCATAAAAAGTGTCACAAAAATAAAGGCCCAATCAAGAACTTTAGCTTTACATGCCACCCAATAGGGCAGTTTTAAGAATATATATGTGTGTATATATATATATATATATATATATATATATATATATATATATATATATATATATATATATATATATACACACTTATTGATGAGACAAAGTGGAAATTTTTTTATCAAAGATGCATTTCACCAGAGAAAAGCTTATGTTCTCTTTGGCATCATCAGTTTGATTAAAAGAAACATATAACTGTGTTAGGAGAATGTCTTGGGATCTCTGAGGATAAGTTAGTATCATAAATCACATTACACTAGCTTATTACTTCTTGACTTTAGACTTGAAGAGTCTCTGTGCCTTTTTGTTTTATCTATATCTGTATTGGAGCTGTTTGGTATTGTAAGATTTTAATTGAGGCATTCTGTATGTAAAAAAAAAAAAAAAAAATTATACATGCCCATATACATTCACTCAGGCATATAGATGTATTAGAGCCCTTTTTAATTTTCATACATGTATCTACAAGTATGAAAAATAAAAAGGCCCCTGCGTGTGTGTATAAAAAAAAAAAAAAAAAAAAAGGAAGAATAATAGTCCTTGAATTAAAATCCTATTATACCAAATGGCTCCAATACAGATAGAGATAAAACAAAGAAGTGCAGAGGCAGACTCTTTTCAAGTCTCAAGTCAGGAAGTGATAAGCTAGGGTAATTAATGTGATTTACGATACCAACTTAGTTATGTCTTTCTTTGCCAAACTAATAATGCTAAAGAGAACATAAGCTTTTTCCAGCAAGAAAAAAAAAATGTCTTTGATAAAAAAAATCTGAAACTAATCCCAACAACCTATATATATATATATATATATATATATATATATATATATATATATATATATTTTTTTTTTTTTTCTTCTATGGTTGTTAGGATTATTATTATTTGTGGATATTGGTACTTTTTTTTTTCTGTGCATTTTGTAGGCTTTGCCTTTGGCATTGTGCAGGAAGTAAGTTGAGTTTCAAGAGTTTGAAGGTGTTTTTGATGTATTTCTCTTATTTGGGCCTCTGATCACTGAAATAAGGTCAGAAATGGTCATAGAATTTTATTTAAGGAACTTATATATATATATATAAAGAAGATAAAAACATCAAACCTTCAGTTATTTCCTGGTGTTCTTAGATGCAAATTTTCAAAATCCAGAAGAAAAATCTACAAATAATATATATATATTATAAATTAATTGATTTAAAATGTTTTTTTTTTGCTACACAGTTCCAACCATGTTTCAAAAATAGAAGCTAAAAACCCCGAATTTAATTTTGCAATTAAAGCATTAGTTCCATTTCATCTTCAAGCGAATTTTGGAGTAACTTTTAAAAATTACTGGGTTTTAAAGACACAGCTAAAATCATGTTTCCATGGTTACAGAATATTCTACTTAAATTGAACAAGGCATGTCTAGATTTTCCTTATGTCAGTATCATTGTATCAGTTATTAGCTACAATTTGGTAAGGGGTAGGGATGTATTTTACAATGAAACCTGACATCAGTTGAATGGATGTCGTCTGAATTTTTTTTTTTTTTTAAATTGTTAACGGTAAAAAAAATTTCAACGTCATTTTTTAAATTTAAAGATTTTCGTTTTTTTTTTTTTTTTTTTTTTTTTCAAAAATAATTTTTTTTATTTAACTACGATTTGAAATATTTCCTTTTTAATTTTTATTTTACTATATTTTTTTAAGAACAGTTAAATGTATTAGAATCTATTATATTATGTAGGATTATTTTAACATCAAGTTTAAGTATGTATATGAGGTTACATTTTTTTTTTTTTTTTTTTTTTTAATTTTTTCCTATGACGGCAAAAATGGTTACTTAATTTCACTGATTTAGTAAACTTTTATTTTATATATAAACCTAGTATTATAATGTTTCTCATGTAAGTACTAAGGACATGGGTCATTCAAAAGCTTACATCTTATGGCATTTCATATTAATTTTATTTTACTATAGGTGTTTTTTTTTTTTTTGGATTCTTTTTAGTGCGTGTAGTATTATTTAAAAGAAATTTAGGTTAGAATTCATTCAATGTAACTATAATTTTAATTACAATTTCAAAATTACAACTTTAAAATTTTAAAATATTTTCATTGTTTAGTTTTAATAGACTATATTTCTTTATAACAGAAGGAAAATGACTCATAGTAAGTAAAATTATTTTTCCATATCAAAGTATATGTAAATTATAATTTTTTTTTTTTTTTTTTTTAAACTTTTAAATTTAAATATTTAAGTAATATTAATGGCACTTACTACAAAACTAGCTAAGTCATTTCTCAGATTTAGTAAACTTTATTAATTAATTTATTTATTTCAAATATATGTAACCTAAGTAATAAAGTTTCATATGTATGTATAAAGAACAGGTTAGAAATCATTTTATTTAACTACAATTTTAATTACAATTTTAAAATTACAACTTTAAAATTTTAAAATATTTTCATTGTTAGTTTTAATAGACTATATTACTTTATAACAGAAGGATAATTACTCATAGTAAGTAAAATTATTTTTCCATATCAAAGTATATGTAAATTACAATTTTTAAACTTTTATATTTAGATATTATTTAAGTAAAATTAATGGCACAGACTACAAAACTATCTAAGCCATTTCTCAGATTTAGTAAACTTTATGTATTAATTCAAGTTTATGTATATGAGGTTACATTTTTTTTTTTTTTTTTTTTAATTTTATGATGACTATGATGGCAAAAATGGTTACTTAATTTCACTGATTTAGTAAACTTTTACTTTATATATAAACCTAGTAATATGTTTCTCATGTAAGTACAAAGGACATGGGTCATTCAAAAGCTTACATCTTATGGCATTTCATATTAATTTTATTTTACTATAGGTTTTTTTTTTTTCTTTGATTCTTTTTTAATTTAATTGCAAAATTAAATTCGGGGTTTTTTAGCTTCTATTTTTGAAACATGGTTGGAACTGTGTAGCGAAAAAAAACATTTTAAATCAATTAATTTATAATATTAATGCACTGTAAATTTACATTGAGCACTATTTTATAAAAATATCTATAAGAACACCGGATTTTATATCTTACTGTTCTTTCTTTTTATATATATATATATATATATATATATATAGAGAGAGACACAAATATTTAAGCAAATGCTCTGTTTATAATTAACATTTACTGGCCTGGACATCTGAGAAACATCATAGAAAATGTATCCTCCAATAGGAATCAAACCTGTATCCTACATGTAAGCATCATATAGCCTGACATGCTATACCAGTTTATAAATGTTGTTAATACTGTTTATTATAAACAGAGAATTTACTTATATTTGTGTCTATATAATATATTACAATAGAATATATTAAAATAATTGTCAGACTTGGTCCATTTCATAATATATGATGACATTTGTTTACATTGAGATATGCTTCGAGCAGATATGGATGTTTGAGGGAAATCATGAGAAATTTCTAGTTTAAAAGCAATAATTTGACTTTGCTGACCAGACACTTCTTTTGTAGCTAAAGTGGTATAGCACGTCAGGTTATATGACTGTTCTGAGTTGGATACAGGTTCAATTCCTGTTGGAGGACGCATATTTTCTATACAATTTCTTGGACATTAAGGCTGGTAAATGTAAATAATACCATTTATTATAAATGGAGCATTTACTTAAATATTTATGTCTATATAAATAATGTATAACAATAATTGTTGGACTTAGTCCATTTCATTATATATATATATATATATATATATATATATATATAATCATGGTTAAGTCTTGCTTTAAAAATTAGCTGTTGATCAAAAAGATTTTTTTCTTTTTGAACTTTGTCATTATATTTAAGCTTTTTCTATTTTGTTTTCTATCTCTCTCTCTCCCCCCCCGTAATTAATCTTTGATTGTCTGTAAATGATTTCTTGGCATTCTAATTAAATTTTTTTTTTTTTTTTTTTTTTTTTTTTTTTTTAAAAAGGAGTCAGTTATCACTGTCCTAGATTATTATAATGTTAATCATTACTATATATCTAATAAGCTGACCCGCCAACTTTTGTTATTCTGAATTGAAGGTGATGGCTATAATAGCTCTGAACATACCATACTTGTCCCAGCTGACTAGTTTGCAGAATGTATCCAGATGTGATGAGTTTGGAAGCTTGTTATGCAATAATATTTTGTGTTGACGCATTAAAACTGTCCCTCACTCTCTCTACCTTGCAACTTTTGGTTGTTCCTCAAGCTGAAGGAGATCCTTGGGGACAGTTGTTTTGAAGACATTGAGAATATGGAAGAGGCTGTGACAAAGGTCCTGGAGACCTTCACTTTGGTTGACTTTCATGGGGCCTTCACAAAGTGGCTGGAGGTGTTGCAACAAATGCATTGTAGTCAGATTAGTTTGTACTTTTTTTGAAATGATTCTCTCTCCTGATAAAGTTTCAAAACTTCTGCAATGCACCTTTTATTATACTAATTCATCTCTGCAGACATTTTACAAAGACTAAAGCATTTGCATAAAATTTTAAAACTAACTTTTTTTTTTATTTTTTTATTATTATAAATACTGGCTTTTTTGTCTTTGGTATGATGATAAACTGCATCCCCGTCCTGGGTAAGACGATAAACTATGTCCAACAGCAAGGCCTTTGATCAAGAGGTTTTGAAGAGCGTGGAACCACTTCTTAATTTCTGCTGTTCCCAGGTTCACCCTGAGTTGGGATGGTAGCACCTGTTAGGGTCCCAGCTATGGGCAAATAGTTAACCCTCGAACTGGGGTCAAAACACTATGAAAACATAAAAATTGGTTTTAATACCAGAAATAATTTGTAAAAACAAATTATTGCCAGCAATAAATTTGAGCGAGGGTGGGGATTATTACCAGCAATACATTTAATATATATATATATATATATAGATATTACCAGCAATAAATTTTTTTGAAAAAAAAAAAAAATATTAGCAGCAATAAATATCTGTATAATTGAGTTTGATATGCTGTAAAACAAACCAAACTAAATCTGGATTTTTCATTAGATCTATGAATTGACCAAATTATTCTGTATTAATCTTTATAAAAAAAACACAAATTTTGAATCTTTTTTCTTCCCAGAGAACACGAGTTCTCATTTGATGAGGGAGCAATCAGAGGTGGAAGTAAGGCTTGCAAAATGAAGCAAGGCTACAATGTGAAATTCCATGTTCTACTCACATCATATGAATTGGTCAGCATTGACCAAGCTACGCTGGGTTCTGTTGAATGGGCTGTTTTAGTCGTAGACGAAGCTCACAGGTTGAAAAATAATCAATCAAAGGTAAGTCACAATTACCAATTGTTTTTCTCTCTCTCACCTTGACAGTTGAAAAATTGTTTCCAAATTGAAGTGAATACATTCAGAGGGACAGCTTTACTCTTTTGTGCAGCCCCATTAAATATTACAAAACAATTGATTTAAAGTATCTTTTTGAATTTAAAATACTCAAAATGCTGCTAATTTAAGTTGCATCACATTTTCAAAATAAATTGGTTTTAATTTTTAAAATTTTCTGCCTTGTAATTTAATTTTAAGTCATGGCATTTAGTCTTGAAAAATTTTTTTTCTTTTTCTTTCCTGTAAGACTAAAACTTGTACTTTTAATATAAAATTATGAGATGGGATAATTTTTTAATGCTGAACTTCTGGATTTGGTTAAATATATGAGGCATCTTAGTTTTTAGTACCCATGATCTACTTTAAAATAGTAGCATTTAGAGTATTTTAACCTTCAGAATTTGTTTAGTGGTCATTTAATCTTTATTAAGGTATAGCAAAAGAACCAAACACTCCAAAAGGATTATCATAGAGCACTTTTCTTTTAAATAAAAATCCTTTATTTATATAATGTTCATAAGTAATTTATTTCTCGACCAGGTAATCCTTGTTCACTTACTAATATTAAAGTGAGAGACACCACTTCATTCAATATGGCTGACTTATATAACTAAAAACAAGGGACATGACTCCTATTGTTGATACATTCACTATTATTCAATTATATAGAGTCATCCACAGACTGTTTGGCTGTATCACAGCTCATCAGTGTGGCTAGACATCTGGTTGCTTCAAACCGGGACTGAGACCCCAGCTGATTTTGCATCAGTCGGATATTCTAACTCCTAGGCTATCGGCGCCTGGCAGAGAGAAGTCCAGTAACCTAGAGGACTCAGTCAGTCGGGAAAGTATTGCATTATTAACAGTAATAGTCACGGTTTATAAATTAGCACTTTCTTCCCACAGTGTTTGACCGAATTTATTTAATTAAATAAAGTAAAAAGCTTATCACCTAGTTGATTGATGTTACCTTCAGCATCTCTACTCTAGAGTTTCATGTACAATTCCATGATTTTTGACAGGTAATTATCTTAGTGAAAAGTAAATTTTTTTTTTGTCTTAGTCCTGTTTTTTTAACAAGTCTTAATATAAAATTAATTTTCATGAAACATAACACTATTCTTATTAGGAGTAAAACCTATTTTTAGGTTATCTTTAAATTTGTTTATTTATGAATTTAAAATTGTTTGTAGCACTAAACATATCTTTCTACCTTTTCTTTTCAGTTCTTCCGTGTTTTAAGTGCTTATAAAATTGGTTACAAGCTACTGCTGACTGGGACTCCTCTGCAAAATAATCTGGAAGAACTTTTCCATTTACTCAACTTCATGAGTCCTGAAAACTTCAAGTAAGTATGTTTTTTTTTTTTTTTTTTTTATATATATATATATATATATATATATACACACACACACCCAATTCAAGAAAACATTTATCACATTCACTGCTGTGGGTACGAAGTTTACTGGTTAAGGCATTAGTGTTTGCGTCTCATTTTTTTTTTTTTTTTTTTTTAAATATTAAAACAGCTGACTTGGTAATATCAGCCTGGAGAAGATGATCTCACCATTGGGATGTGCTTGAAAATCATACCATGAGTTGACTCCAGCTTTGCAAGTGTTACGAGGATGCATTTCTATAATAAGAAAGTCTCAATACGGTTAAAATTTATAGTAAGGGATTCTACTTGTTACTACAAAAAAAAAAGTTTTCTTTCATGAAGTAGATATAAAATAGAGAAATTTGAAATAGAACGTTTGGAAGATTCTTGATCATTCCAATATATTCGAGAAGAATCTAGATGATTTGAAAAACCTCTAGAAATATGCAAATTAGGTGTTAGCCCCTATAAAAATAGGTTTTTGGAAAAGGGGTGTCAGTTGTTGAAAAGAAATTTCTGCCAGTGTCAACTCCGGCTTTTTGATTCGAGGATTATTATATCCAGCTGAAAGAATCTCAATGAAAAGTTGCCGACCAACAAAAACCCCAAAGGAGAACCAAATGGAACCAATCTGGTAAATAATTTTGACTATTTTCATTGACCAAACTACCAATTATTCAATATATTCTCACATTTATGGATTTCCAGTTATTAGCACTTAGATTACTTCACTAGCCCTAAAGTGGTAATAAGACTTGACTCCCTTAACTTCTCCCTCGTAACACTTCGCTCGTAAATTGTGTTTTCTGTTTTTTTTTTTTGTTTTTGTTTTTTTTTGTAAGCCACAATTGTTTATCTTGTATATATTTTATATTGTGTTTTAGTAAATTAAATATTTGTTTGTGATTTAGCCGTGTGCTGTGGTAAATCTTTTTTTTTTTTTTTGTTTTGTTAACAATTATCAACACGTAACAGTATAAAAAAAAAAAACTGTTTAAAAGCTAGCATGAAATGGCAAGTCTATCTGCCCTAAAGTTTGTGTGTGCTGGTGGTGGGGGAGTTGCAGATAGCTCTTAATCTCACTCAGCAATCTATCTCAATAAAAACAGCCATTCCCCAACAGCGTGGCCACTTGTGAGCATGAAAAAAGCATAATGATTTTTTAAAAAAAATGTCATGTATGTTTGTGATCTACCTTAGACGAAAATAACCCAGTATTAATTAAATTCAAAGTCCAGTGCTGTCATAAAAATCCAGATCAACTGGACTCTGTTTCAACTTCAGATTTTGTCTTTGTCAAATCTACATCTGCTTTCAAATTTTGTTCATTTGTGCGTTTAACCATTACCACACCACAGGTGACAATAGACGCTGGAGAATTCTCTCACTTTGGACGCATTCTGTCATCACCACAGGGTTACTATAAATAAACACTTGTCAATTATTATTTCTGGTATTTTAAGCTGGAAATAGTCTTATACCTCCTTTGAAACAAGGCTAAACTTCTGTTTTCCAACATCATTTTTAATTCTTCTCTACTCTACACGTGTGTAGCATCGAATAAACCTACAGTAATTTCATTGTGATTTTTTGTTTACAAAAATGTCCACTGGGACCTCGAACAAAGCCTTTATTCAGGAGTTTCTTTTTGATTCCGACTCTGATTTTGAAGAATTTACTCAGGTGGATATAGATGGTAAAGTTGTCGGGTATGGAGAAGACAACCACACTTGTGACAAGGAAGAAAACTGACAACTCCAAATCACCGAGTGGCTACTACTACTACCATCCTGGGCTGTGACTAATTTCCTGCAACCTACTGAACCTATGAATTTACCTAATAGCCTTTCTGAAGGCAGATTTATTTCGTTTATTCATAAACGATGAAATAATTACTTTATTTGTCAATGCGACAAATATGCTCGTCAAATGAAAGAAAGGAAGGGGATGAATGCAGGTATCTACACATATGTAAACATGTTGGATGAAGTCACTTTCGCCAAAATGAAGGCTTTCTTAGCCCTTTTACTTCTTGCGGGGCTCACAAAGCGGCTGTCATTTCACTTATACTTGTCAACGGATGTGTTTATTCAAATGTCAGGTTTTAGAAATATTATGCTACGAGTCTGACTTTTGACATCTTTCTGACAATACACGTGCAAAACCGAGGAATCACTCTGAACATGACAAAGCATACAAGATTCGGCCATTTTCTGACAAACTTGTGTCACTTTGGCAGAAATGCTTTTTACCCCGGAAAGGAACTTTCAGTGGACGAAAGTATGATACCTTTCAAAGGCAGGTGAGCCCTCCATCGCGCAGACACACACACACACACACACACACACACACACACACACACACTTTATATATTTACTGGTATGACAGAAGGCCAGTAAATTTGATGACAACTGCCCACACTGGTGAGACCTTCAGAAAAGAAGTAAGGTCAAAAATGACATGAAAATGATACCAGTATTGTGTACAAGCCTTGTGCTGTGCAGGCTTACTCTCAGCACATGGGGAGGGGGGGGAGTAGACAGAGCTGACAAGCAGCTAACCCTACTACATGATCCTACTACATGATCCGTCAAGTGGTGGGAAAAGTTTTTTTTTTTTTTTTTACTTGGATTCTGCTTCTACAATTCCCTGGTCATCTGGAAAGCAAAGTTGACTCACCTAGTCAATACTGAAAAGTTCTGGCTGTGCATTGTACATTCTCTGATGGAAGGCTACGAGGCAGGTGTCTCTCGCAGGAGAGGTAAGAGGACTGAAGATTCCCCCCCCCCCGAAAAGCTGGTGTTGTGAATCGGCCCCAAGCGCCTGAAATGTGGAATTCCATCTTGCCCAGATTGTGATATTTGTGCAAACAGAGAGAAGCACCACCACCAGACCAAGTTCATGTGCACAAAGTGTGATGTGCCACTCTGCCTATACCCCTGCTTTCAGAGGTCACATAGTCTGATAGACTACAAGGTAAACTGTACCCCCAGAACTCCACAAGCAATAAATGCTAAAGTATGTGAAATTATTAATGTATTTGTTTTTCATTATTTATTTTTTATTTTGTGCTTCAATTTTTATTTTGCTTTCAGTGTCAAAACATGCATGCAAAATGTAATGCATTACATTATGAAATCTATAGACACAATACAAAGAAATTTTAAAACAATAGGTGCTCATGTATTTTGTGACATCAAAAAGAAGTCGGTGGCAGGGGGGAACAACTCTACAAGGTTTTTGGTGTGGTACTGTTTGCTATTTTTCTCATTTGATGTGAGAGTCGTTCAGAAATTTGATGGAGAAAAAAAAAATCTTCTGTCTGATGATTTTTCTCTTATTCCCATGTTCTTCTTTTACATTCAGTGACCTCCAAGGCTTTTTAGATGAATTTGCTGATTTGTCTAAGGAAGAACAAGTGAAGAAACTCCACGATTTGCTTGGTCCCCATTTACTTCGACGTCTGAAAGCTGACGTACTTAAAGGAATCCCAGCGAAGAGTGAGTTCATCGTGCGTGTAGAACTTAGTCCCATGCAAAAGTAAGTCTTGCTACTTCCGCTCTTTTCCAAACATTAGAAATTGTGCTTTGTGATTCGGAGGGCTAAAATTCATTTTGCTTTCTTTCTGGCAGGAAATATTACAAATATATTCTTACACGTAATTTTGAGGCACTCAACTCTAAAGGAGGGAATCAAGTATCTCTGCTGAACATCATGATGGATTTGAAGAAATGTTGCAACCACCCATATCTCTTCCCTATTGCCTCAGCAGTATGTATCCATTTATTGCTCTTTCTACTCATCACTCTTTCTAAGGCTTGGCATAAAACTTGTACTATTAACATATTCTTAGGCTGTTGCAATGCCAACATACAGGAATATAATATAAAAGGGATCTCTATATTAGGTGTACATTTGATTGTGATGCTGATACATGGTGATTTGGGTGTGTCCCTGGGAAATTCAATGGGTCCCAAATAAAATTTCTTAAATTTTTGTGTTAAACTGCAGGGCTATAGCCCTTATACCACCACCCCAAAAACAATTTTAATTATGTTGATTCACTTAAAAACTTTATTTTATTTATTTATTTATTTTTTTTTTTTTAAACACTTATCACAGTTCAATTAAATTATATTTTATAGGGGAATTATGGTCGAACACTTTCAACGGATACAACAAAAGTTACCCCCCCCTTAATAATCAATAAATTTAGGACAAAAACAGTATTTAAAGCAACAGTTGGCAAATTTGAAAAGGTTCAGGTTTGTAAAATGAAAAACAAAAAAAAAAAAATCCAAGTAAGTGTCTGGTAAGGTGACATTGTTTATTTCATGCAACTCACATCTCCCACCAGCAAATGAAAGAAAGAAAGAGAACTATGGAAAAAGTATTGGAAAGAACATGTGCCATGGGGAAACACTTTAGTTGGAATCCCTGGGACACACAGATAGGAAAGTTACTGCATCCTTGAAGACTTTTCCGTCAAGGATGGCATGATACGCACCTATCAGCATCCATGAAGATGTCATTTTCTTATGTTTCACATGTGTCACATGTCACCTTAATAACTAGTATCAAGGAAGATTTTTATATTTTATTTCTTCAGATTAATTTTAATGAAGTTTTTTTTTATTCTGCTAATATTTTTTTATTTTTCAGGAAGCACCTCGTTTACCCAACGGTGCATTTGAAGGAAACAGTTTAATCAAGGCTTGCGGGAAATTAGATTTATTGCATAATATGCTGCGGCTGCTCAAAGACGGTGGTCATCGAGTATTGATTTTCTCACAGGTAAGTTAGGCAGCTGGTTTCAATCTTTGAAATCTGCTTTCGTAAATAAAATAATTAACACATAATGGTCCTAAGATTACAAGTTGTCCACCGACGCTACATCAACATTGTTACACTAACAAAAAAGGCTTACGGCCATGTTACATTGAAACACTGGTTCTTGTATGATCACAGAAGTTGTGCAATGTCGAGCCTGGTCATTAGCTTGATGGGTGACTGCTTGGGAATACCAGGTGTTGTAAGCTTGGATGTACTAATGGATAATAGCTTGGAATTGTTAATCAGAAAGCAGATTTCTAATTCCATTTGGGTTTGTCATATTCACTTACACACAAATACCCTTGTGAAAAGTATGAATCCGTCTCTTCTTCACATCTATGGGTTAATTAGTAAAACTTGTATCACTAAAACCATTATTTTCTCAAAAATAAAAAAATTACATGCAAAATAAGTAGATTTTGGCATTCGATAACTGATGCTGCTAAACAAAAACCAAGTTAACAAAACAAAAGTTTTTATTTATTTTTCTTTTTGTGTGTTGGGGGGAGGAATCTGTTATGTCGGTGTGGTGGTGGTCTTTGTTGTATTTGTGTGCACATGTGCTCCCATCTTTTTGTTTCAAAATTCTTACAAGTATGTCATGACTCCTGACATTAATGTCTTCTGAGCTTTTGCTCAAATTGGCATTTATTTAAATTTTTTTTTTTTTTTTTGTCCTTAGTTAATGACTTGTACATTCAATTAAATTTAACTCAATTGTTGTCTTTTATTCCAGATGACCAAAATGTTAGACATTCTTGAAGATTTCTTGGAATTTGAAGGTTACAAATATGAAAGAATTGATGGTGGCATCACGGGGGCCCAACGTCAAGATGCAATTGACAGATTCAATGGTAAAAATGAATCCCAAAACTTTTCATTCTTCCATTTATGTCCTCTCTCTTGCTCCCTCTCCTCTCCCGCTCTCTCCCCTCTCCCGCTCTCCCCCCCTCTCCCTCTCCCCCCCTCTCCCCTCTCCTCTCTCCCCTCTCCCTCTCTCCCCCTCTCCCTCTCTCTCCCCTCTCCCTCTCTCTCCCCCCTCTCCTCTCCCCCCCTCTCTCTCTCCCCCCTCTCTCGCTCTCCCCCTCTCGCTCTCTCCCCCCTCTCTCGCTCTCTCCCCCCTACTCTTTTGCCTGCTCTCTCGCTCCTCAGTAATTTGCCTTGTAGCTGGAAGACATCTGAGCAAGAATTGAATAAAATTGAGCCTTCCATATTTATTTTATTTTTTTCTTTTAAATAGAGAATACATTTTTGTAATTAAATTTTGTGTATATTGCCTCTTGTCAAATGATTTTTTTTTTTTTTTTGTTTCCTCTTTTCCCAGCCCCTGGTGCACCCCAGTTCTGTTTCCTACTGTCCACGCGTGCTGGAGGTCTTGGTATCAATTTGGCAACAGCTGACACTGTTATCATTTATGATTCAGATTGGAACCCTCACAACGACATTCAGGTAAGTCCCTTTTTTTTGTTTATCTTTTTATTTGTTGATCTTTTGCATTGGACACAGGATTTTTTTATGTGGAGGGCTTTTTTACTTAAAATAAAATAAATGTTTGTGTGTGTATATATATATATATATATATATATATATATATATATATATAATCTGATCAGTAATCGCAGAAACAAACTCAATATCATTGATTTGTTTGATCCTCATGCTGACCTGTATTATGAGTGGTTTTGTTTTGCCTGAAACTGAGCAGAGTATCTTCTTTTTAATATGGATTCTCACACTGTTGTTTCTCTCTTGATGATAGTCAAAAAATATTTCAGATCAATTCTATACTCCCTTTCCCCTTCAGTAGCTTCAGCTTTAATAAAACCAATCAATTGTGAATGATTGTTTGCTTGTTTTTTTTTGTTTTTTTATTTGAGTCTTTACTCTTTTTTTTTTTTTTTTTTTTTTTTTTTTTTTTGTTATTGCATGTCCATCTTTCTATTCTGAGCCTAATTGAAGTGCCATTTTTATATGCTGCCATCTTTCAAAACTGACCCTGTTGCAAAACTGTGTGCATGTACACACTGATTAAGCTTTTTAAAAACTTCCAGCCCAATGAATGTATTTAAAATAAGTTTTAAAAATGTCAAATTCAAATAAGTGTATTATTTACATTTGCGCTAATGCCTTCATTTTTGTTTTAACAAAATGTTGGCCTTCTTCAGGTGTACTGTGAAATTTCAAACTGAATTCTTATTTAATCTATGGGGATAAATTGTTCTCGTTTCACTGTCCGTGTTTAGGGATATCTTTTCTTGACAGCAGAACAATATAACCCTTTTGATTAAATAATGGGTTCAGTTGGAAATTCTCTAATAGTTAATCCAGATCAAGACACACCTGAAGAAAGACAGAGATCATAATGACTGAAACTTTTTGATAACAATAGACATTAGTCCAAATGTAAAGAAGTTGTCTCAGGAATTTAGATAGAACTTATGTATTTTATAGCAATAAAGACTAGCATGCTGGTCTCAATAAGGTATATAAGTGTACTTTATAATTACTGAGTAGACAGTATATAAGCTTGAAATTTATCTTTTTATTCAATTAACTCTGGCTTTGCAGAATGTTTCTTTTGAGAAGTGCCTCTGTGGTGGGCATTGAAATGTTGTGAGTTCTTCAAATGTATCAAAGTTCATTGATGCTGAATTTGCTGCTCTGTTTGTAGGCATTCAGTCGAGCTCACCGAATCGGACAAGCCAACAAGGTGATGATTTACCGCTTTGTGACAAGAGCTTCAGTTGAAGAACGTATCACTCAAGTGGCTAAAAAGAAGATGATGTTGACACATTTAGTCGTGCGCCCTGGACTTGGCAACAAGGGAGGAACTATGTCCAAACAAGAACTCGATGACATTTTGAAATTTGGAACAGAAGAACTCTTCAAGGAAGAAAATGGTGAAAGTGGGTTCTCTTCTTTAGAAGAAATCTCTCTCTTTTATACAAAAACGTGTGCAAAATTCTTTTTGAATGCCTTCCTTCCTTCTCTTCTTAACTGTTTTCAATTAATGTTTGCTACTTTAGTTGTTTGAACGTAAGCTATTCACTCCCCACTCCAATTTAATAGTGTGTCTCTCTCTATGTATCTATCTATCTATCTATCTATCACATAACCTTAGTCTACAATTCTTTGCTGTGTAATGTTGCATCTATATAAATATGCATTATATAGCCATTATAATGCATCCCTATAGTTTTAAAAGGTTTCCTTTTTTGTGGATCCTGTGGAAAGCATCATGATTTCACATACACACTGTTAATGTAAAAACTTTGTTCTTTTTTAAATCGACTTTGTTCCTTGCCTTTTTTTCCTTTTATTTTTTATTTTTTTTTTTGTATCTTTTTCAATCCAGTTTCTTTCAGGATCTGTTGGATGGCTTTCCATTCCAAAATATAAATGTTTCCCACTTTTTAATTCCTTTGCATAACCATTTTGAATCACCAACACCCATTGTCACTTTATTTCAGAAACCGAATGGTCATGCTGTGAGTATTAACACTTCACTATTCTTACTGATTCCATGGACAAGTGCTGCTGCTGCTGCTGGCAGAAGACCCTTTTTTTTTTTTTTTTTTTTTTCTTTTTCTATTTTTTTTATTTTTACTTTTTTTTTTCTTTTTTTTTTTTTTTTTTTTTTTTTTTTTTTTTTTTTTCTTTCTCTCTCTCTCTGTCTCTCTCTCTATTGAGGACCTGGTCATTTTGCCCATTCTCATCACTCTGCTGTTGCTGCTATCACTGCTGCTACAACCAACCATTTCCCAGTTGATGCCTTTTCATATTGTCATTTTGACCACTTCCAACCCATCCCTACCATCCTCTTCTCCTTTCCAATTTTATTGGAATGGAAATTTATAACTGGTAAAAAATTTTTTTTTTTTTTTTTTTTTCTCTTTCATTATTGAGGAATAATGGATGGTTGGCTGCAAAGTGTCAAAAATGGCCCAAAAATGCCTTGTCCATCTCTGCTCCGGCAGACATGTCCTTGCTTTCTTTCTAGTCTACTACCTTCTTCATCACAGGATTTTCTTTCAAACGCATTTTCATAATCAGTGATAATGATGATTCAAGTGACCTACTTTTTTTTTTTTTTTTTCCTCTCTCTCCCCCCTCCCTTATTACCTCTCTTTTTTTCTCTCTCACTCTCTTTCCATTCAATTTGATCTTTCTCTGTCAATTATTGCTTTTTATTGCTACTGGTTTGTTGTAGATATTAGATGTCTGGAAAGCATTCCAGTGAGTGGTCCCTTCCATTTGGTTGAAAAAGGTTTTGTATTCATACAAGTCTCTTTAGGGGACATGCTCTTGAGTCATCCATCATTATTATTTCCTTTATCCATAGAATTTCTATTTAACCAAAATCTATGCACAATATGGGTTCTTTCTTATTAACTTATGTTGTTTCTTTCATTTTTAAATTTTATATATAATATAGTAAAAGGTCTTGACCCAACTTCCACTTGAAACTCTTTAAAAATAGAAAATTAGCCACCAATTAGAGAAAAAACTTGCTAATTCTGTTTCCAGTATTTTCTGTTAGATGGTAACTTAACTGAAGTTGGTGAAATGAGTTTAACTGGAAGCTCGGGTGTTCCTTAGAATTCCTTTTCTTCTAACATCACTAACTTGTTTTACTTAATATCTGACCTGTTGATTATCTTCATGGCTCTGGCCTTAGATGAAAAAGTATTCATTTTGAAGGTTTATTTATTGCTCATCTGTTGCCTTTATTTATTTATTTTTTTTCTTCTCTCTTCCTCTCTCTAAAATTGATTTCAGATTAATAGCTTTTGTTAACTTGAACGAAATCAGTTATTTTTCAATTTGGCCAAGAGGGGACAGTTTTGAATTTGCTTTCAGAGCTCGAGTGGAGAAAATTGAGCCTTGCCGTCTTCTGAAACTGGAGAATTTTTAGCAAATTTCTCCATGTCTTTGTAATTCCTTAACATTGTTAAAATTTAACTAACTTATAATTCTTACAGACACTAACCTGTTCACATGCCAGCAGTGTGGGGTGGTGAACATTTTTCTTCAGCTATCTAATTTATGTAAATATTGTAATTTGATGAAATATTTTTTTTTGTTGAAGATCTTTCAAACAAAAAACCCATTATATCAAATGCTCAATTATTGGAAAACTGTATTTAAATATACAAGAAAGTAAGTTTTTTTTTTTTTTTTTTTGGTTTTATTTTTTTTTTTTTTTTTTTTTTTTTTCCTTTTTAATATAGAATAACCAGTGGTGTCTTTATGACCATGCCAGTTTGTTTCTTTGATTAAACAAGAAAACTGCAAATGCCTTAGCAAATTCCAATTCACCATGTTACTGGAGATGGAGAATTTCTCAAATCATTTTAGACTGATAACACAGCTTCTCTTGTCTCTGGTTCTATGCTTGCTTTAAAAAAAAAAAAAAAAATCACCAAAAGAAAAAACAAGTTACTCAACCTCCATATGTATAATTATTTCATTGGGGAGTCATTGTAGAAATTGTCAGTTCTTTCTAAAAATGGCAATTTTTCTTTATCAGTTCCTCCTGCACTTTTTCTTTGATAAAAACAAATAGGCAGGTGATAGTCTCTAGATTCACGTCTTGATATCTTTTTTTTAATTTTTTTTAATTTTATTTTTTATTTTATTATGGTGAATAATCAGGATGCATTGCTTGTAGAATGCTGGTCAGGTCAGACATGAGGTCAGTGCTACTGTTGCTGCTGCTGATGCCTATTCAAATATTTTCTTCTTTATCACCCACCCCCATACCCCTTCCCTCAAAGAAGATAAAAAAAATACAAAGACTTGATTGTTCTTTCATGTTTACTGTGCTGCTGCTGCTATTATTATTATTATTATTATTATTATTACTGCTGTTGCTGATTGAAAAAACCCCCGACAATTCTGATAATCCATGTTGTTTGCAATACAGTGGTGTATGTGAAATCATTGATGGCACATCTAATGTATACTGCATTCTAACATGATTGACTTGTTTGTATGGGATTGCTCTTTCATATTTACTGGGCATACAATGTGGTAGTTGTCGTCATCGTTGGCTGGCCATTGATCAAGTTGGCCAAATGGATGGGCTGGCCGTGTGTGATCTTCGCCCTGCCATCAGATGCAAATTGACATATATGCTATTTAAATATGAAAAACGAAAAAAAAAAAAACAATTCTTTTTAACAGCTGAAGATATTAAATGGAAGTAACTTGCAGGATTTTATTTTAATAATTAGCTTCTAGAACTTTGTGTGCACAGGTAGCTCTGTTGATATGGTCAGAATTCTCTACTCAATCCAGAAACCCCCACCCTACCAAAAAAAAATCAAAAAGAAACAAATCCCATGTCCATTTCACTGGCAATGACTATGGAAGCAAATTGCTACAATCCCCCCCCCCAAGAAAAGCTACTTTAAGAAACATATCTGTGTAATCAAGATTAGATGAGTAAGCCAGAAATATTTATATTTTAGTGTATTCAGTACTATTGCTGGAATATTGCTATTCTGGTTTATCATTTTTGATTATCTAGAGGCATTTTTCTTAAAATGGCTAAAACTTCTTATTCTAGTGTGTGTATATATATATATATATATATATATATATATATATATATATATATATATATATATATATATATAAAATACACATACTATCGCATGTTAGTGGTGGTATTGATAAAATAGTGCTTGTTGTATAACAACAGAGCTGAAATTTATATTTATAATAACTATACATTTTATTTCCTCACCAGTAGCACAACTCTAGAGTTTTATGCACGATGCAATTGTCAGGTGCTGATTGAAAACTGGTCAAAATCCTTTCCTCAATTTTCAATCACTGCATGACAATTACATTCTTTATGAAACTCATAGTTGTGATATATATTTCTATTTCAGAAAAGTGCATTTAGTGTTGTTCTTACCAATTGTAGTAAATTCTACTACTGCTAATTCTTTGCTATTGCATCCCTTTTTTCTTCTTTGCTGCTATCATCATCATCATCCTCATTGTTGTCATCATCATTGCGAGCTTTTTATAGGACCGTTTACTCTTTATCTGAAACGGAAAACAACAAAGTAGCATTTTTTTTTTTTTTTTTTTTTTTTTCAAGAATCTCTTGGGAATGAATTCATTATCTGGGAAGAGATTTAAATTTAAATCCTGAAGTCTTGATGAGAAATTAAATTTCACACTTGGAAATTTTCCATTCTTCATCTTAAGAATTTTAAATCTCTACATATTAAGATCTATAATGGTTTGTTAATCATTCTTCTCGCTTATTTACCTGTTAATTGTATACACAGTTGCTAGTAACTGTATTATAAACCAGAACCGTGTTGTTTTTGGTTTCCCTCCTCCTTTATGATCACCTTTGTGAAGATTGGAAATTTCTTGACATTTGGTGAACATGAAAATGAAGCTGTCCGTTAAATCTACTCCATACCAAATTTGCTTCTGATTCATGCTAATTTTATTTTACACAATTTCTTTAAAGAGGTGGAAATTAAATATTTTTATTTTATTTTTTTTTTCTTAAATTTGTTCTCTTTTTATTTTTACCTGCACAATTTAGTTCCTAATTAGGTAATCCTGTGCTGTAAAACACTCAGTTTGAAAGAGAGAAAACGTCTCCTAGACATACTGTTTCTTGTGTCTGCTAAGAAGAAATGCATACGTTTTTGTAGCACTTAAGAGAGAAACTGCTGCAAATGATATTTTGAATTGTGACTTAATGTAAATTGAATGTTCTGTTTACATTGGTGGTTTTGTATTTTCTTTTTTGACTAATATCCCCATCTTTTTTTATTTTTTAAATATCAGCATATATATTTAATTCTTTGTCACTGCAATTTTAACTGGCTCCACTTTTAACGATGTAAGACAATGCCTTTTTTCTTAATCGGTTTGGTTATTGTTTTGCATTATTATTAGTATTCAAGAGTTGACAATCTTGTCAGAACATTTACTTAAAAAGCATTCAGTGCTACCTAATGATTTGAAAATGTTTTATTAAAGTGTTTTGATGGCAGAGAGAAAAAGATTGGGATGTTGGTCTAATTTGTATTGATTGCTGAACTTGTCACTCTATAGGAATTTGGCTACTTCAGTTCTCTATTCATATTGTCCTGTATATTTTAATGCCTTTTTTCTTTATTCTTTTTTCTTTTTTTTTCTTTTTTCTTTTTTTTTTTTTTTTTTTTTTTTTTTTTTTTTTTTTTACTCATTCCTCCTCCTCCTCCACTTCCACCCTATAATTATTGTGTATATGAAAAAGTAAAGTGAGGCTTAGAAGAGCCTTCATTAGGTACTGGCATGAAAGAAAAAGCAAATTAGTACTTCACTAATTGAAGAGGGGGACTTAGTAATGGACTAATAGTTGATGACTCTCAATAGTAACGACATGTCTATTATCCACTGTGACCCTGATGGTGGGGGCTGTTTGATTCTATTTTGGTTCATGCGTTATTAGTCTTTCTATGTTCTTTTAAGGGAGACTCTGTAGAGCAGATATGGAGTGCATCCTGGCATTTCAACTAAGATGAAAAATTAAAATATTGGCTCTCATAAATAAAAATTGATCTCCCCTATTTTCCTCTTCCTGCCTTTCTCTCTCTCTCTCTCTCTTCCCCGCGCCTTTTCTCTCTCTCTTCCCCAGCCTTTTCTCTCTCTCTTCCCCCGCCTTTCTCTCTCTCTTCCCCAGCGCCTTTTCTCTCTCTTCTTCCCCTTCAGCCTTTCTCTCTCTCTCTTCCCCTCTCGCCTTTCTCTCTCTCTCTTCCCCCGCGCCTTTCTCTCTCTCTCTTCCCCCGCGCCTTTCTCTCTCTCTCTTCCCCCGCGCCTTTCTCTCTCTCTCTTCCCAGCCTTTCTCTCTCTCTTCCCCTCGCCCCTTTCTCTCTCTCTCTTCCCCGCCTTTCTCTCTCTCTCTTCCCAGCGCCTTTCTCTCTCTCTCTTCCCCCCCCTTTCTCTCTCTCTTCTTCCCCTTTCTCTCTCTCTCTTCCCCTCTTTCTCTCTCTCTCTCTCTCTCTTCCTCTCTCTCTTTCCTCTCTCTCTCTCTCTCTCTCCCTTCCCTCTCTCTTTCTCTCTCTCTCTCTCTTCCCCAGCCTTTCTCTCTCTCTTCTCTCTCTCTCCCCTCTCTCCTCTCTCTCTCTCTCTCTCTCTCTCTCTTCCTTTCTCTCTCTCTCTCTCTCTCTCTTCCCCGCCTTTCTCTCTCTCTCTCTCTCCCCTTTCTCTCTCTCTCTCTTCCCTTATTTCTTTCTCTCTCTCTCTCTCCCCAGCGCCTTTCTCTCTCTCTCTCTTCCCCTCGCCTTTCTCTCTCTCTCTTCTTCCCCCCTTCTCTCTCTCTCTCTCTCTCTTCCCCCTTTCTTTCTCTCTCTCTCTCTCCCCTTTCCTTTCTCTCTCTCTCTCTCTCCTTTCTCTCTCTCTCTCTCTCTTCTCTCTCTCTCTCTCTCTCTCTTCTTTCTTTCTCTCTCTCTCTCTCTTCCCCCCCCTCTTTCTCTCTCTCTCTTCCCTAGGCCTTTCTCTCTCTCTCTCTCTCCCCCACGCCTTTCTCTCTCTCTCTCTTCCCAGCCTCTCTCTCTCTCTCTCTCTTCCTTTTTTCTCTCTCTCTCTCTCTTCCCCCTTTCTCTCTCTCTCTCTCTCTTCCCAGCGCCTTTCTCTCTCTCTCTCTCTTCCTTCCCTTTCTCTCTCTCTCTCTCTCTCTTCCCCTCTTTTCTCTCTCTCTCTCTCTTCCCTAGCGCCTTTTTCTCTCTCTCTCTCTCTTCCCCGGCCTTTCTCTCTCTCTCTCCCTCCCTTTTTCTCTCTCTCTCTCTCTTCCCCCTTTCTCTCTCTCTCTCTCTCTCCCTTCGCCTTTCTCTCTCTCTCTCTCTCTTCCCCCCTTTCTCTCTCTCTCTCTCTCTTCAAAGGACGCCTTTCTCTCTCTCTCTCTCTCTTCCCCTTTCTCTCTCTCTCTCTCTCTCTTCCCCCCTTTTTTTCTCTCTCTCTCTCTCTCTTCCCCGCCTTTCTCTCTCTCTCTCTCTCTTCCCAGCCTTTTCTCTCTCTCTCTCTCTTTCTCTCTCTCTCTCTCTCTTCCCCGCGCCTTTCTCTCTCTCTCTTCCCCCGCGCCTTTCTCTCTCTCTCTCTTCCCAGCGCCTTTCTCTCTCTCTCTCTTCCCCCCCTTTCCTTTCTCTCTCTCTCTCTTCCCCCGCGCCTTTCTCTCTCTCTCTCTTCCTTCCCCCTTTCTCTCTCTCTCTTCCCCCGCGCCTTTCTCTCTCTCTCTCTTCCCCAGCCTTTCTCTCTCTCTCTCTTCCCCAGCGCCTTCTCTCTCTCTCTCTCTTTCCCCTCTCTCTCTTCCCCGCCTCTCTCTCTCTCTCTTCCCCCGCGCCTTTCTCTCTCTCTCTCTCTTCCCCAGCCTTTCTCTCTCTTTCTCCCTTTCTCTCTCTCTCTCTTCCCCTTTTTCTCTCTCTCTCTCTTCCCCCGCGCCTTTCTCTCTCTCTCTCTCTCTCTTTCTCTCTCTCTCTTCTCGCTCTCTCTCTTCTCTCTTCCTCTCTCTCTCTCTCTCTCTTCCCCAGCCTTTCTCTCTCTTTCTCTCTCTCTCTCTCTCCTCTTCCCCACGCCTTTCTCTCTCTCTCTCTCTCTTTCTCTCTCTCTCTTCCCCGCCTTTCTCTCTCTCTCTCTCTCTCTCTCTCTCTCTCTCTCTTCCCCGCCTTTCTCTCTCTCTCTCTCTTCTTTCTCTCTCTCTCTCTCTCTTCCTCTCTCTCTCTCTCTCTCTCTCTCTCTCTCTCTCTCTCTCTCTCTCTCCCCGCGCCTTTCTCTCTCTCTCTTTATTTTTTTTTTCTTTTCTAGATTACTTTGTAGAAATACTAGACCTTTTTAAGTTTTTTTTCTTTTTCTTAATGAAAATATTAGTGTTATTGTTAATTGACCAATTCTTATTTGGAAAATGAAAGGTTACATGCAGACAGCATGCAATTTTTAACCTGAGTGTCTATGTCTGTTCATCCTGGCCAGCTGACCTATAACTTTGATCTTTAGATTCTTCATTAATAAGCTTGCTTTTTCTTTTTTTTTTTTTTTTCTTTCTTTCTTTTCTCCTTTCCTTCCCTGTGATTCTATTTTTGATATTTTGATAGATCAGATAGTAGTTGTTGTTGTTGTTGTTGTTGTTGTCCTCTTGCTGGTTGCAAACTTTTGGCCTTACATGTAAAGCTTCAACTAACTGAAAAAAACGTAAAAAGCAACGTGCTGTCTTTTCCTTTCTGTCTATTTCTGTTGTATTCCTGTTGTGTAAAGAGAGGGCAGATTGTTGCTTTCTCTTTCTCACTCTTATAAGTCACTTGTTCATCTCAATTACTAATCTAGTGATAGTTACTTTGTTTTAATAAAAAAGAAAAAAAAACAAAACAAATTTGACGCCATAAATGTATGTCTGTCTATAATCATGGAAGGCAGGTATTAACTCCCCCCCCCAAACCTCTATATCTGCTGTTAAGGGCCAGATGTGTGCATGCTTCTATACATCTGATAAGCAACCTTCTTAGTTTTTTGTGATGAAATCAACACAAAGATTTTGTTTATTTTTGTTTTATTTATTTTTATTTTATTTTATTTTATTTTTTTTTTTTTTTTTGCCTTTTCTAATTCAGAATTGAGTCAGTGTTAGCAATGTACCTCATGGAAAAACTTTTTTCTTTTTTTTTTTTTCTTTTTTCAAATCCCTCTTGTATTAATCTCAATTTTCTATATTTGTTTTTGGGGTGGCCAGCTTTTTTTTTTCTTCTTCAATAATTTGTCAGTGGGTTGGGAAGTGTCATTTATAGTTTGCCTCCACCCCCCCCCTTTTAAATTTTTATTTAAAAAGAAAAAAAGTATTTGATATTTTCATTTTACTGATTTTATTTCAGTTTACTACTATAAAACTATAAACTCTATATTGCCAAGAAACCTACCCCCCTGAATTTTTTGATTAAAAGCAAGCATTAGGAAAAGTGTTTGAAAAATTGGTTAAAATTGTGTTTTTCATCATTAGGCTACAGACTCATTGGTATATCTGTATTATTTGATATCTCTTTTATGTCTAAGAGACAGAAATTAATTATTAGCACTTGAACTGTGTATAAAATTCTAGAAATTAAATCAGTTATTTTTATTAACTGTTGAATACAATCTTTCATTTATTTTTTTTTTTTCCAAGTCAAAGAACAAAGTTTTTTCTTAGTAATTTGTCAATGGTCCCAAAAATTACTTTTATGAATATAATCAAAGATGCTTTTTGAGAAAGCAGCTTATTGTTCGAAAGTGTATGAAATTTCTTAAAGAGGCTGTGGAAATGGGTTTTGCAGATGGAAATTTTGGGTGAATTTTCTTACTAAAACTTTTAATCCTTAGGACTTTCAGAATTTCTCTTATAATTTTGGTTAAATTTTAATGATTTAATATGATTTTAGTTAAACTTACATATTGGAGAATGTCAGTCAAATGATAGGATTAGGAAACTGGATTACACCCACAGTGTTCAGGATTCCATATTTGATTTGTCAACACCCTGGAGAATTTTCAAGCAAGCCACAAATCCAGTGGCCCAAAGAAAAAACTGCTTGGTTGAATCTTCACTAAGAACCTTCATGAAATAATACTTAGCAACCATCTAAAAGGGTCCCATTAACCATGAGATCTTTCTACAGAAGTTTGTCATGAGTGGGGTTTGATGTGGCAACTGCAAGAGAGATAGAAAGGAAGAGAAGTGACCAAATAGAGAGACAGATTCAGAAGGGTAAACTAAGGGCAGAGCAGAGAGTTTTGAAGCATCAACTCAAAGTAGCTTCAATTCATGAAAGGGCAGGCCTTAAGAATTTGCTTAATGAGATTAAAGAATGGATCCTAGTGATCTCTAGAGCTGAGAACCTCTCAAAACGTTAGAAAAAAAAAACAATCTCAGAGATCATTTTACAATAATATTACCACTTTTTGCGTTCACAGAGATTGTTGGCAAACTTCAAGAACCATCTGAGGATGACATATGCTTGGAAAGATGTTCCAATCCCTTCTATGAATGACCTTTCTAGGCACCAAGATGAGAAAAAAGATCATTTTTAATGACAACATACTAAAGCTGATGGAAGTTTGGGAATTTGTCTGCAAATCCTGTGGAGGGGAGTGCACCTGAAATAAATGTAATATCCTACAAGCTATATAAGAATTGTCCAAACATCCTCAAGCAACTCAACATCTTCCTTCAGCTGACATGGAAACAAAAGTATTGTACTTGAATGGAATAAGTATTGTAATTGAATGGTATCTAGTGAAAAGAATGCAAAAGGCATTGCAAATTTCCGCCCTATCCTTTTGAATGTAGAGGGAAAATATTTTGGGGTTTTATGCCTGTCATATGACAGACATTTCCTTCTAGGTGGTAACCATTACATAAAACATAACTATTTCCAGAAGGCTTTGTTATTTTTGCCAGCCATCTGAAACATTAAAACATGATTTGGAATTCAATTGTATCAGCCAAACAAAATAAACTGAGCTTCATGTAATTTGGCTTGATCTCATGAAAAAAAAAAATCAGAATCATATAATTAGAATGTCCTTTAATTTTTCAATTATAGTAATAAGGTTGGAGAAATCATAATGAAATATTTCAGAGCAGTATTTAAAGTTTACATTGTTGGTAACTATACCAAGTGGCAAGCCCCTTGAGGTCAACATCATGATGGGGTGTATGATTTCACCACTTCTTTTCATTATATCCAGGGAACTCTTATTACAGGGTCCACTGGACACAGCAAAAATAGTGATGACTAAGGAACAAATGGTCAATCCTCCTTCCAGAGGTTTCATAGATGACACCAGCATTCTGGTCCCATCTAAAGTCAGTGCCAATAAACTTCACAATTACAGTGTTACCATAAGCTCTTCACATGGGCAAGAATGAAGGCTAAAAAAAAAAAAGGTGGAATTTATCCTTACTTGGAGGTCAAGGGAGATTCACTTCTGCATTGGTGGTGACATGCTCCCAACAGTCAAAGAAAGCCATTGAAGAGCGTTGAATTGCTGTATGAAATTCTAACTGAACAGCACCAAGGTAAAAAGTTGCAGAAAGTGTCACTAAATGGACTTTAATCTCGTGACAAAACCCATTTCCCAGGCAAAAACTGAAGTAAACATTGTCTACCAACATGGTTTGCTTCTCTGGCCATTGCAGGTATATAATGTTATTCTGTTTTGCATTCAGCAGACACAAAGTTTTTATCAACAAGTTTTACCTGTGCAAATGGCTTGAAGTTCCCCACCTGTTTCTCCACAGTGGGACTCTATACCAATGCCAGAAGCCTGAAACTTCCCATTTCCTCATTGGTGGAGGAGTTCAGTGTCAGGAAGTAAACTTTATTTTTTTGATAATGAAGGACTTTTTTTGATGAGTTCATCTTTTTTTTTTTTACAGCCAAATATCAAACTGGAAAATCAAGGTTTTCATCAGTAAATGGCCATCCCAAGAAACAGAATTTGATTCTCTAACCTAAGGTTTATTTTTTTTTTTTGACCAAACCAACCAATCAATTTCTGGTCTGGGCAGCACAGGCAACCAGTTTTTCACCAAACTGGATCCAAAGGAATACAAGACATGGTGATTGAAGAAATGAGAACTTTCAAGAAAGAGAAGTGAAGGGTAAACTGCTGTTTCTTAGTTCAAACAATGTGCTTGGACTACATGGAATGATATTGATCCAATGAAGCTATCATGGAATGTTCTGACTAAAATAGATCCATTGGCATTATCATTCCTTCTATGATCTACTTTTCATTTGTGATCTACTTCATAAGTTCTATAGAAATAACACTGATTTGTGCATTATGTGTGTTTCAAGCAAATTTATGTCATGGCTTCTCTGCATTTTTACAATCACTGCAGATGTATATATTTTTTTCATGACAATTTGTGCTGAAAACAATCATGGAATTAACTAGTACACAGTGTGAAGCAGCCAACAAACATCCTTAATGGTCAGAGAATTAAGATCTGTTTTCAAGGAAGGTAAAATTTCTGGTAGACATCATTTATTCTATATATGCCCTGACATTGTAACATATCCTGAATTGGATATTTGTCCTCCTAGTAGAATTAAAGGTTCCATAGGATGAGAACAGGTTAGAGGAAAAGCCTTAAAAACCACTTGATGCAATCTGATTGCATGCTAAAGGGATGGACATTTGCCATTTACTACCTACTGAGGTTGGATGCTGTGGATTCCTTGGATGGTCAGTCGTTTCCTTCCTTTTGAAGGTGGACATCACTTATTATTGCTACTAAAAGTACTATTATCTCCAGACCACAATCAACAAGCATTGTTTGAAATTGAACAAAAAATCCAAACCTTAAATAAAAGTTTATTATGAAGGTTCACAACACAATTGACATGAAACACATCTGTTTACCATCCATGGAATGTCATTGATAATGCAGACTATTTCCAGGGTATTGTTTAAATCATTTTGTTTGAGTAGCAAAAAAAAAAAAAAAAAATCCCTTGATTTTCATTCTTAAAGATTTATTTAGTGCTAATATCCTCATCTTTGTCTATTTTACTTTTTTTCATTTTATGCCATTTCATTATTTTTTTAGCCCAGCCCAAGTGGTCAAATGCTTTTCAATTGCTTGGGAAATTTCTCAAATTGTTTCCAATAAAACTTGAATTCTTTCTCCTACAACTCTAGAACCCATGATTTCATGGACATTGACTTGTTGCCTTCAGTCATGGAAGTCTTAATGCATAAGAGCAAGCTTTCTCTAGTCATTCTGCCATCTTTTATATGGTAAATTTTTTAGTTTATCATAAGGAGTC